GTAATCTTTCAAACAAAAAGTGGCCGGGAGAAACATGACGTCGGGAGAGGGTGGACTACTTTCAAGCATATTCTTTCGGACGAGGAAGCGTGTTATACTAAAGCGATATCGGTGACGTGGATGTCATTTTGCCCGGGCTTTGTACAAATGATCCCCCTTCCTAGCTATGGCCGGTAGTAACTAATATAGATTCCAACCTGCATTTATCAATCGTTTTCTGTTAGATGGAAGGATTAACACAAGTGTGCAAGGCTTTGTTGTTTACACGAATGTGTACACTTCGCTACTGACATGGGTAGTGACATGGATGGATAGCAGTCCGAGCTGTATGTAATGCACCATTTCGGTCTAGACTTGACCCTTTATACCCGAGGTCGGCAACCACCGGGCCGCGGCCCATCGCCGGTCCGCGGAAAGGTTACGACCGGTCCGTGGCAAGGTGACACAAAAAACAGACAAGGTCGTAATAATACCTCCACAATCTAGATTCTAGCTAGAACCTTCAGACTAATAAACAGCACCAAACAGAAAACCAGACAAACGCAACGCATCTGAATAGCATTTCTGACTTCACGAATAATTACCATGTCAGTATGTCGCAATAATGCTGCGTCAATTGCGTCTGTATAAGAACATCTCACTTCAGTCCAGGTAAGATCTCTCAAACAACGTGACTACTGGCTCGCAGCTAACCGGTCGTAACTAGTTAGCACACATAAAGTTAGCACTTGTAATAAAATTAATTATGGCTAAACAAACGTCCATAACGCAATTCTTGAATGACTGTGGCCCAATATCTAACGAAACTGAGAGTGTAGATATACCGGGAACATCATCGGCCAAGAAAAAAAGTCCTTCAAGCGCAAGTACAGTGAATTGTATTCGCAATATGGATTTATAGCGGTAGATGACAACAACGAAATTAGTCCAGTTTGCCTCCTTTGTCATACTAAGCTCTCAAATGAGGCGATGAAGCCTTCGAAACTTCTTCGACATTTGGAGTCAAAGCACGTAGGATTTAAAGATAAACCACTGGAGTTTTTTCAGAGACGGAAACAAGATTATGAGAAAGAAATGAAGTTAATGAGGGTCAGCTCGACGTCCAGTTCTGATGTGCTTATGGCATCATATCTCGTGGCCAGTCGAATAGCAAAATCGAACAAACCATTTACAATCGGAGAACAACCTATTTTGCCCGCCTGTAAAGATATTTGCCGCGAAGTTGTTAGTGAGGCTGCAGCAAAGAAAATTGCACAAGTTCCCTTATCAGCCCGCACTGTTAGCAGACGCGTCGAAGATATAGCCGAGTACATTGAATCTGAATTGATAGAACGCATTAATAAGTCCCCATGGTTTGCTCTTCAATGTGATGAGTCGATTGATATCAGCGATAATGCAAATTTTCTTGCTTACGTGAGATATCTTTACCAGGAAGATATACACGAGGATATGTTATGCCTTTTATTATTGCCTACCAAAACTACTGCAGCTGAATTATTCAAATCTCTGAATGATTACATTTCGGGAAAATTAAATTGAAATAATTGTGTCGGAGTATGCACAGATGGGGCTGCAGCTATGATTGGGAGGTTGTCTGGATTGGTAACTCGTATCAAAGAAGTCGCACCTAACTGCAATTCAACGCATTGTGTTATTCACAGAGAAATGTTGGCCAGCAAAAAGATGTCATCTGAACTTAACGAAGTAATGAATCATGTCGTTAAAGTTATTAATTTCATCAGGGCACATTCTTTGAACTCCCGATTGTTTGCACAGCTTTGCGAAGATATGGAAGCAGAACATAGAAACCTCTTGCTGCACACAGAAATTAGGTGGTTATCCAGAGGAAAATCGTTAAACCGTGTATTTGAACTACGTCTGCCGTTAAGAACATTTTTAATGGAGAAACGGTCTCAGTTTGCTGAACAGTTCAATGATAAACAGTGGCTGCAAAAACTTGCATACTTGTGCGACATATTTAGCTTGCTTAACGATCTTAATCTGTCACTTCAAGGTAAAATGACTACAGTCTTTGTGTTAGCAGATAAAGTTTCTGCTTTCAAAGACAAATTAAATTTTTGGAAAAGGCGGGTTGATATGGGGATATTTGACATGTTTCATACACTTACAGAACAATTGGGAGATTCCGCACCGCATGAGACCGTTAATATTATCGTGAGTAACCACTTGGATATGCTTTCAAAGGCGTTTGAACGCTACTTTCCTAGCGCAAACGACCCAAGAATTTTAAAAGAATGGATACGAAATCCATTTGTAAATAAACCTAACGAAACGACGATGAAAGTTTCTTCTATAGAGGAGTTGATTGAAATTTCAAATGATAATGAGTTGAAAAGCGTCTTTGCGATATCTACTTTGCCAGTCTTTTGGTCAAGACGTAGCTACAGAAGCTTTACAGGAATTGCTACCTTTTCCGACATCGTATTTATGTGAGGCCGGATTTTCAATATTGACAACTGCAAAAACGAAATATCGAAGTAGACTGGATGTAAGAAACACGTTACGTGTGTCACTGTCAACCATATCTCCAAATTGGAAACAGTTAATGACCAGCAAACAAATGCAGATCTCGCATTGAATAGCAACGCCTATGTTTTTCAATATATTGTCAATGTAAATTTTCTATCGCGTGTAATTTATTACATAAGCTTAGTTCAGTTTTGTAAAGGTGGTCCGCCAAAATTTTTGTCAGGCTTTACCGGTCCGTCACCCAAAAAAAGGTTGCCGACCACTGCTTTATAGTTTATACCACAGATGCAGCATAGTTACATTTGGTCATATTCATGAAATCGAGATATTGAAACTTATGCATCAATATTTCGATGGTAAACTTCCCATAGCATTCACTGAATTTTTTACGAAGCAGAGTACTATCCATTCCCATTCCACTAGATCAGCTTCGTCAGGTTCATTCCACGTCCCAAGATACTCGTCAAGCAGAACACAGAAGTCAATCAAATATACGGGTGTAAAGCTCTGGAATGTTTTACCTAATGCCATTAGATCGCTATCGTATGGTATGTTTGAAAAAATCTGAAAGATAAATACATTAGTAACTATCCCTCTTCTTATAACCATTGAAGTACCGTACCGGTACTCGACAGTGTCGCCCATCAAATTGCTCGCTGTTAAGCAAGTCGGGCAAACAATAATAAGTGCAAGGAGAAAAATTTACAAATTTTATGACCGTTTTCTCGTCATATTTCATCCCACTTACTGCAAGTTTTATACACGTATAATAGGATACCGTACTGGTATTGTTTGCAATATATTCTCCGCTGTAACCTAATTAGAGTGGTAATTTTGTAATTTTGCGTATTGTTCGTTTTCCTTGGTTTTTAGTTTTACATTTGCCAAATTTGCATTCTCTTTGAGTTTTTCTTTATTTTTCTTGATGTCCTCCCATTTTCTCTCTTCAGTGCATTCTCTCGTGATAGTTATATATTTATTTTGTTAAATAATCTGCACAGTAGCCTCAATTATGTATATTACTTTTTTATACTGACCTGCATCAGCTTGGTGTCGCTGCTTGAAGACCTCTATAGGTCCCTCGCGACTCCGGTCACACAATTAACATGATTAGTATTTCGTTTGTTGTAACAGTTTTCTATATGCTTGTTTTTTGTGTTGACAAATAAAAGATTGATTGATTGATTGCACGAAAGTTTTGTTCGCGACAGTTGTGATTAGCAGGTGTCATTTCGTAACCGATGAATTCGCTTGTTTTAAACAAGGAAAACGAAACTCCTTTAAAGGAAAGGCTCTTCTTCAATTCGCAATATTAACCGAACGAGCGTATTTGTAGAATATATTTTATGGAAACCGTACAACTTTAGACTAGGTTTACGGAAGCAACATTTCATAGGCAAGACTGAGATTTCGGCATGATTACAATTACAACGAAGTGTATAAAGCTGAGACCCTTGCAAAGTTTAGGAGCAGTTAGTGCTGCAGGATTACCAAATTAAGTGGCGAACCAAACCTCCTAGCCGAAGCAACAATAAAGTTTGAAGGTCGATTTCCAGTTCATAAAGTTCAAATTGAAAAATATATGTAAGGTTAACGACAATATTGAAACTTATTTTTTATTTAAAATCATAAATAAATTATTTGAATGGTTAGGCAATGTTTTATATGTAATGACTTTAAACGTCATTTCGATGATTTTTCTTAGTAATCAGGAAACTTTGATGAAGACTTACATGAACTGCATTTGACTTTTTTGCAATCAGCGCTTAAAATATATTTTAGGTATCGGGTGCTGGTTTCATTTAGCCATTCCCATTGCCTAACTGGAAATGAAATCACAAGTCAGAAGTCTGTTTTATTTTTATCAACTTTGTAAATCTTAATTTTGCACTGTCAGTGGTGTGTTTATCTTAAACTCACATATAGGTTTCACGTCAGTGGTATATTCACTTTGCTAACACAGACAGTCCCCGAACTTGTCATAGAACTAAAATAAGGAAAATCGGAGCCCTAACCTGGTACACACACAACGGGAATAATAAAAAAATAAAAAAAGTTTATATAGGCAGTGACGAGATTTAGGGAGAGCGAACCTGTTGTTGTAATGTCATGATAATCAGCTAACCCGTTCTGTTTTTTTTTTGCTTTAGACGTTAATAAACGACCGCTGCCAATGGGCAACCGCAGCTGACGACTATCGTTTTTTTGGCTATTTGGAAGTTATGTATTAAATTTATGTAAAGCATGTTATACCAATATGACTTACGTAGTGGCATGCACACATTTCTGAAATGATTGAGAACTTGTTGTTAGAGAGTTAGACACAGAAGAGAACCCGTCAAACCCACTACTAAGTATACACGTTATATAAGCGATAGGAGACAAACCACGGTCAATTGAAACTTGATAATAATATTGTAAAATACCATTTTGCTGTTATTTTTTGTAATTTCAATGCGTTCATTTATGTACACCCACCCTCTGTCTCCCCATCAGAAAACAAGTCAATGTTTGAAACTTAATGAACATTATTTATTGTTGCTTAAAGTAACAAAACAAAGCAAAGCTAAGAAAATGATAAAACAGCTTAACGTGGGTCACAATATTAAACAAAAAACTAAACGTTACTAAATATATTTCTAAAAGACATTTCCTACCTTCCTGCCGAATAAAGCTCAGACCCTCTAAGTAGGCCTGTAGACAAAAACGTTTCCGACTCTCGATAGCCTAACATTAGATATGGGCTAAGGCTATTTGACATTATGTAAAGTTACCAGACAAGAATAAATAGGAAACGTTTCAATCAGTCTACATAGTACATATTTCAATACTTTAAAAGTTCTAGTAGAATAACGAAGCATAAAACAGCACAGCAGGGCCCGATACCTCAAATGAGGATTTCAATATCAGAATTATTTTTGAGAACAACTATGTCAACATTCTTTTCAGCCAAGATTTATAAAGCAAATTGGTTAATTTGAAATATTCAATTCTCGTGGTGTTCTCATGATAGTTTTTGAAAATACTTGAAAAATAGGTCGATACTATTATACATGGGTTAAATAACAAAATCAAAACTACCCAACTAAATTGTTTGATTCCAGCAAGGAAGTGTTTTATTTGCGTTATCTACACTTAGGTACTCGGGATACCGTATTATTTCAAATATAAGCATTTGGACGTATGCGGAGACTCCGCATGTAAAAGGACGTGTCGTTGCGTGATCTTGCGTAATTTTCCCCTACGTAATAAACGTAAAGACAAATGTTGTAACTTCAACGTAAATGATTTACGCACGAACATATGGGTACACATTATATTATCTTTCATTTGGCGCGTTAACGTTATTAAAATAAAGGAAATAGTTCTCGCTATAAATTCAAGACAAAAGCAATTTTTACAAAGATGATTAGATTAATAGATCAGATTTCTTCAAAACTTTATCAGTCTTGCTTTCGTGTCTCCTAATATAACTCTCCGACTGCATTCGATATTCTTGGTTTAACCTGACAAAAATAATATATAATTTCAAATTTGTGAATATAAAAGTTGCAGCGAGTAGCAGGGCTAGTTATCAAAAAATCTAGGGCTGGCTTAAAACAAGTAAAGTCCAACCCTCTCAAATGCAAAGTATGAGTCTAGTAATCTGGTATTCGTGACCTTGTGAGATGAGCTAGGATAGTTTAGTTCCGCTTCCGCAAGTCAAAAATTCAGCTTGAACTTTTAATCAAAGTACTGTGTTTTGCAGAATCCTTGGGTCAGGCCAATTTATGCAACTAAAATCTCGTAAACAAGATCGATTTGAACAAAATCTGACTCCAATATGACAAAGGTGTGATTGGTCATGATAGTTTGAGATTCAAAATTTTCTCAGTGTCGATAATTTGCTAAAAGCTCTACAGGTTAGATATTGCACAAGAGCGACTCCAATTGTTCAGTCAGTCCACACATTTTTTTTTGCGCAAACCGTCAATTTCAACAATAATCCATCTTTATATGACAGCTTTAATTACCCAGTTGCGCAGAGTTTTACATCGGAATGTAAACTAAATTAAACTCTATACGTCAACACTAAATAACCAGGCGCCTACAATTTTACATTAATTCTAACAAGGGCGTACAATATTATATCCAACTTTATATGTAAAATATAAACAACCCATTCATCTAGAATATTTACATTATTAGCCAGAACGTAACATTTAAACCAATTTGTTACATGCACCATTACTGAACGTGATCTTCACGAAAATGGTTTTCCCGAAAACGTTCTTCAATACTTAACAATACTTACAGACAAGGGTTCTGGCAAACTTGTTTCCCGAGTTTACTGCTGAGTTCTGCTGTGAGTCTGTCAAAGCCTCCTCGTATGATGGCGATATGCTTCTGTGGGGGCTCACTAGCTATGGTCTTCATTTGGTCCAAATCAAGCTGCCCAGTTGATCCTTCGATTCCAACAACATGAACCTGGAAATATATTTCAGTGTTTAATTAGTAATATGTAAGTAGATTCTTTCATAAGTTGCAAATTATTACTTGACGACCATTGGGGTATGTGTCAGAAACACAATGGAGACTCAATGGAGACAAATGTTATATGTGAGAAGATTGGCGGGTACATCTGTTTGATGGCAGGGTCGTTGGCATAACTTCAAATCCTTCACACAATTATTTGCAAAATTTTTTAAAACTCACACAGAGAAAATACCGGCAAGGGCTGACATGTATGTATCTATCGATGTATGGTGGCAGGGTTGTTCGCCTAATCTCAAGTCCGCCACGAAATTGGACGCCAACAAAGTTTAATGCATCCTAAATGATCTAACTGATTAGTCCTTTAATCTAAGCCCCTAGGGTTTTCAATTGTAATCAGACATGAGGCACTCGATTGACATACGATTAAATCGTCTTGACGGCTTTTCTCCTATCTTAAGGTATAAACAACAGTAAACACTGTAGTGCTGTGTGGGAAACATATCTGAATATTATTTGTTTAACTCGGGAGATTGATGTGACAAAATGAAATCATAAATTTGAACAGGGATCACATGCCACGTAAGAGACTCACCGTTGCATTATTTTCCTTCAATTTTTGAGATGCTTCTTTGACGTCATCTTGACTGACGCCATCAGTGAAAAGTATGACGACATCAGCAACATCAGGACGGTTGCCAGGTTTTTTCAAACTCTCTTCTGCGACATGATTCAGCGCTTTTCCAGTGTTTGTTCCTTAAAATGAAAATACATTTTTATTAAATGCAAATTTTTAAATAAGACAACTGTCAACTAACTGATTGAGAGTCTGGTTGTCTGAACAGTCTGATGTACGAGTCCTTCAAGTGGCAAGTATGCAAGTATGTTTTCCTAGTGATCCCCCTGTATATATGTATGTTTGTGATTCTTTGCAAAATATCTTAATTTATAAGTGATTCATAAAATCTTATGTTGAACAGACAAGTTTTACAACAGTCGTGAAAACTCCTAGTTATTCGGATATCTAATTGACAGAAAGTTCGACACCAAAAACTCTATACATGAAATTCATTGGGAGGTACGGACGGCAAGTTTTAAAATTCTTCTTTTAATAAGTGGTGACTGATGATATTAATTCCCTTCTAAAAATTCATAATCTCCTCCCAAACTCTCTATTTCACAGTCTTGTTTGAAAATACCTATTTAAGAAATCTTACCCCATCCTCCGAAATGTGTGAATTTGATTGCATTTGTCAGCAATTCTCTCGTCTTATATTTTCCAATCGGAAGCTCGTTCTTGGAGTCGACATCTCGGTTGTATCTCACTGCACCGGCTAAAACGTTGTCTTCACCGATGTGGAAATTGCCAAGGATCTGAACAAAGTTTGAGTTATAGTTAGTAACCTTGGTTATGGAATCACCTATTTTATTCTGTAACATTTCGTCTCACTAAAATCTCTTTTTACCATTGTCGGAAAGCACGGCTTCTCAAACTAGGCTTCTAAAAACGGGTTCTGAGGGCCACGGGCATTAAAAAAAATATTGTTCTATTTACCCTATGACTACAATTGAAGAAAATAGACTGTGGCGCATTAAATTCCTGATGCAAATGCGCTAATACCCGATTTATATTACCAGGGACCAAAAGTGTTGAGAATGCTTTGAATTGTATATTCATTGTTGTATATTTTTGTCTGTCTGATCTACGAAAAATGAAAGTATAAATTTTTGTCATTTTCATAAAGCAAGCCTCTAGAAAAACTGGGTAAATTCCTTGCTTCACTTTTTAAGCCATGCTTTCGTTCGATTCGTATGAATTCGCATAGAGGAAACATAGACAGATATCGCAAATCTCTATAAGACTCCAACAATTGAGAGCGGTTTATAGCAAATGTAGTCAAAGATAAAAATTATTTCACCTGGTTAGCAAAATCCAGCAGCCGTTTCCAGTTTTGCCATCCGACACTCGAGCTGGAATCGAACACGAAAAACAAATCCATTTTACCCCACGGTGGACAGTTTTCTGTGAAAGAAATGCGATTCATGTAAGATAAAAGGTGCATTCAACAATATGGCGACATTGCGGAGAATTTGACAACAAAATTCAGTTTGTTATTCTAAATAATACATCTCAAGAAACTGTGAATCCGAGTCCGAAGAGCAAAAAATTTGATGCAATGTACCATTGGTATTACACTTATGTAGATGGTCTTTATTAACATCAACTTTTTTACAGTGCGGTATTTCTCCCAACATAAATAAACTGACTTTACTTGCTCCAATTGTGTGAAGTCTTGCGTTAAATTTTGTGAATACATGATAAAACGTGAATTTAGCACGGGTAGGGTATAGCATCGTGCATCTGGCTATAACACTCACAACTTTACTTTTAAATAAGCTTTCAAATAGTTTGTGATAAATATCTTGAGAATATAAATTCAACTTACGTGCGCAGCATGGTGGCATTCCATCCCAATGGCCATCTTCTGTGCAAGTCAGGAAATCGTTTCCAAACAGCGAATATTTGGCGGTCATGATGTCGTCTGTCTGTCCATCACACCAGAATCTGCATCTACTGTGCTGGTAATGTGAGTTCGTACATTCGACTCCTCCGTGTTCAAGGGTTTTGAATTTGATGTCGCAGTGTCCTGGATGAATAAAAAAAATTCAGCATTTCTGATAATTTAGATTCCAAACACATTTTTTTTCGTTCCACATGTGACGCAAAGTGTCCTGCTTAATTAGTATCTAACTACTTATTATATTCATATTTTCTAGTCATTTAGTATATATAGGAAAACTCTTGCAAATATTGAAACGTGTCCTAAATGAAACTTGCTGCGCAAAAACGCTAGTAAAATTTTATAACGCTGGAGTATAATACGATTTTTCAATTTATCTTAGCGGTTAGGAGACAGCTTAAACATATAACAAACAACAGCCTCTCGTCCGGTTTTCGGTACATGTCGGCTATAGGAATAATTCACCAGTTATTCGTTTCAGATGCATGTACACGATAGCGGAGGAAGTTGTCACCGACCACCGGCTACATGAGCCACCTTGCAACGGCGAGGGGCCAAGCAAACACAATTTTGTATTTTAATATTATCCATGAACTTCTGCAGAGTAATCACAGGTGCGATGGAAAGTGTGTTTCTAACGCTTGGTAATGCGTCAGGACGAATCAAAGTTAGATATTTTTTGAGGAACACAGCCCTAATATTTTGAAAATCCGATTTCAAAAGACACTTCTAGAATTATCAGCTTTGTACTAATCAATGTGTATTTAAACGTAGTCTTGTTCCGAGCAAACCCAGAATAAAACCACAAGAGAATGGATTAGGGGTTCTTTAAGTGTGAGTCGCGCAAGATCGAAGAACGGTTCGCGCCAAGGTGATTCAAGATTGTCAAAACGATTTTTTCACGTTTTATTACTACTAATTAATTCCATTTTTTTTGGTTCAATCTCAAGAAAGCTGGACTATTGTGTCATACATGATTTTCCGAAAGTTTTATTTATCGGAATTCTTACTACGCAAAGTCGATGAGCTGGCATAGATCACTGACAAGAGATAGATAGATACCTTTACAATATGGCGGTGAATTAGTCCATGTCCCATCCAGCTGACACTCTGTTGTTTCACTTCCGATTCGTTCATAGTTTGTGTTGCAGGTGTAGCTGCATTTGGACTGGTAATCATTGTGTCGTATCCCTGTGCAGTTTACTTGACCGTTGGGCAGGTTGATCGGAGGACATGTGAATTCTGTGGAAATAGAAATTGTTTTTAATTGGATTTCCTCTAGGTAATGTCAATCACCCTCATTTAAAAGTAATCGAGAATCACCCCTGGATCAAAATCACTGGTGTTCCAAGCAACCACCAAGTGGTGAACAGCTACTGAAATTGAATATAATCAAGGAGTTTTATGGAACTAATGATACATAATGCCTAAAAAATTTCCCGCTACTGAATAATGTTGCAAGCGAATACTGATGCACTATGTTTGTGTATAGATATACTCGAGACACTCAACCTGCTATTCCAATGACTTACTTTCGCATCTCGGTTTCTGTCCTGTCCATTTCCCATTCAAAAGACAAGTCACGCCCGAACGCCCAGTAAATTTATGACCGTGTTTCGGACACGAGTACGTCACCGTCGACCTGGAAAATGTGAAATTTTATTAAACTTTCGTCTGTGAACTATTTTTCATAGCGAGTAAGACCCAGTGAGCTCAACATAGCAACTGCACAACAGGTAAAGATCAAACATTCAATCAAGGAGATAAATTAAAATTTTCTGCTGATAAATTTTTTAGGATGTTTCTACAAAAACTGTCGTTGTTACATGGACTGCATACGTTCTAAATGCACATACAGACACACCTTACGTTAATGCAATAAATGCCAACTATTACGCATCAGAAACGCCCCTAATGTAAATACAGAACACTTATCAAGAAACAGAAAATGATTACAAAATATGAGTCCCGAACTTCATTGGTTATGGAAATCAATCGAAAAATATTCTGCCAGTCTTCGGCGCTATTTTTAATTCATTACCTTCGCTCTGAAGCTTCTTACATACGAATTGTGCGACACTCTTAGTCTAGTCTATAATGTACTATTCTTCCCATTACTTACTTGTAATAATTTCCGTCCGTCGCCGTCCCACTTCCATATTCAACATATAAGTAACTCGGATCACAAGTAACTCCTAAAAGGTTGGAAGTAACAAAAGGTCAAATAAAGTCGAAAGTGGTTATTTATGAGTGGCTCAAATATCTTGTCTCTACATTTGAACTGTATTAAAACTATTTTCTTATCATGGTCATGAACTGGTAGATCTGAGAAAGTCTCAATTGAAATAAATCAATACGGCTTGTTACTCGATCTATATAGATATTTTAAGTGAGAATTTAATTGAAATATTCCTAAACGATGCCATACTGCATTGGCTAATATACCTGTAACCAGGTGGTTTCATTTGAGCCGGAGCTATATACCAGATGAGGTGAACTCTAGATAAAACCAAAAAATTGAGGCCATAGAGAATGCCCGCTTAAATCGCAATCACTTTTTCAAAAGAACGCTTAGAATCTTGATTTAAACTAAATTCAATTCTGATCATAAGCTGAATTCCGATCAATTATTTCATGTCAATAGAACAAACTCTATTTAAAAGAGAATACTCGGACTTCGGTACCCATACATTCCGTACATTTGTTTTACGGATATTTGAACCCATACTAACCCTAACCCATGTGTTTTAGCACCCGCATATAGATTGAACTCGCGGATATACACATGGGTTCAAATGTACGTGGGTTCAAAATTACGTAATTTTTAGTGACATCTGCCATGGGGTTAGCAATCGGATAGTTGTCCCAAGGAACTTTCACCCCAGATGGTTCCATCACATTTGAACCCACGTACATTTGAACCCACGACAATTGCACCTACATACTATCGCACCTATGGAATTTTTTTGGGGGGTTTGCGGATATTTGAACCCATACTAACCCTAACCCATGGGTTTTAGCACCCGCATATAGATTGAACCCGCGGATATACACATGGGTTCAAATTTACGGTCACCTCGGACTTTTACTAAAGATACTCACGTTCGCATTGCTGGAATTCTCGTGACCACGTTCCATCACTGAGACATCTAGTGGAGAAATATATGCCCTTGACTTCAAAACCGCGATGACAGTTCACGTAGCAGAGAGAGCGGTATTTGTTGCTGTCGCTGCATTTTGCGTCACCGTTTGCAATCTCAGGCACAAGTGGACATCGAACCTCTGAATTAAAATCAGTTGTTATTTGCATTTGGACGCTCCGATTTAAAACATGCTTGCTTTGAGAACTGCTCAGTCGGTGGTCGGAGTTTAAAAAAAAAAATTAAATTTCCCGAAATTGAAAGTCAGATCCCACGAGGGCGTAGCCAGCAATTTTCAAAGGAGGAGTTGGGGGGTTCAATTTTTTTATGCCAAGTTTGACAGTATTAGCTAGCGGGTGCGTTTTTTACATTTCAACGGAAGGTTGGGGTGCCAAGTTTTTCTTTTGTTTTTTTGAAAAGAAATATTTCTCAAAGCAAAGTTGCGATCAATAAAACTGATCTCTGAGCAAAGTATCAGACAGCAAGGTTGATATCTGTTGTGTGGCGGGATTGGCATATCGAGCATTTTACATGACATCAATAAAACGTCTTCAAAAATGGATTAACTTACTCTCGCACTCTCCGATCGGAGGAGTCCATTTAGTTTCGCCGTTCTTTGCATCTCTGCATGTGCTGAAGTCCGATCCTTTTAGAATGTGTCCGTGCCCGCATGATAGCTTGCACACTGCGTTGTAGGCTGACCCTGAGCAGTTCATGTACCCGTTTGCTGCGTACTGTAGAAAAAGTAAGCAATGTGTAAACGAGAATATCGGTCGGAGACCGAAAACTTATCGATCGTAACTGCGGTTTCGATTCATGACTCTATAGTGACACCGCGTGTCCCATTGCTAATTAATTAATAACTCGCTAATTATACGACATAATTCAGACAAACAGACAGACAAATACCTATCAACATACTTACCGATCTTAAGATCGATAAGTAATAAATAAGTATTTTGGGCATTCGAAAACAGGGGAACAATTCGTAACACCGTGCTTCGTGAACTTGATTATAAACAATTGTCTGGTTTTTATTATCAAAGAAGTACTTATGAAATAACTGTCGAGGAATTTGTTAGGCTACGGTTTGTTTTCTAAAAACTTCTTCTCTTAAATACTTGATATTTCGTGTCGACTATCAAAAGATGTCTTATCAGTGTTTGGTTGAAACTTATTCATCAGCAATATTTCTGCTTTCAGTTAAGAAATCAGGACATTGCTTAGAACAGAATGTTATAAAAATATAAACAGTAGAGAGAGGAACTATTCGCTTTTTTAATTTACGAAAATTTGTTGTATATCGGGACTTTGTGATGACCTGGAGGTCGAATTACTGTACCCTCGCAAGATGTATTAAATTGTTTAGAAAAACCTGAACAGGAATAATTCTGATGTTTCAAAAAATATAGCAGATTCTTGCCTAGATTTGACTGTAAGTATAGCCTTGTTCGGGGTGTTGTATAACAAATTCTTTGCCAACTCACCGCTGATTCACATGTCTTTACTTTGCATTCCGGTCGTGGTATGCTCCATGTTCCATTCTCTGTGCATCTGGCAAAGTTTGAACCTGAGTCTACGAGTTCGAATCCCGAATCACATGTGTATTCACATTCAGAATTGTATAAATATCTCTCTGAACAAGTGACTTTTCCTCTCCTAAGTTTCATGTACGATGAATCACAAGCTAATTCTGGAATTGAATATTGCATGTTTAAATCGCAATTCATATATCATATCAGTGAGTTTTGTTGCAGGCAACATAGATTGGGTGGAAATATCAGGGGGGTTGGGAGGGGGGAAAGGGGGGTTGCAATAAATTTATTAAAAGGTTACGTTGAACCGAAAAGATTCTAAAAATAGTAGTTAATGGTAGGCCCGTGTTCCTCTAATGAAAAAACGATTGATATTAGTAGACGTAATGACTTGGTTCAAGCAGTTGGTTTACAGGTTACAGATCTTGATTTCATGCGATCTGATCAGATGATCGAATATTTGTCGACTAGAAAACCAGTTCAAGTAAATACGGTACGGAAGTGAGCAGCGTTGATACATTTAAGTGTAATATCAGAAAAATATATTACTTTTGCACGTAGGCGACCTGTTTAATGAAAAAAGGAATAACAAAGCAAATAAATCTCGCTCCACGAGAAAAGTGAGAACGACTACATATATTCAAATGTATGTTGTAGCCTTATGAACAATTAGTCAATAAGTATCAGATATTTGTTGACTCAATTAGTAGTCCAATTAACAACATATTTATACCAAAGCATCACTTACTTTTGCATATAGGCGGCTTTCCTTCCCAGTTCCCATCAGCTCTGCAAGTTGCGATTCCATCCTTGTTCTTCTTCGAAAGAATACTGTCATATCCAGGCAAGCATTGAATATCGCATTGAGACATGAAACGGAATCCGTCGTCGCAAACCATCTGTGAGTTCTTCGGTTTCTGCAATGGCCCGCACGAGATCTCTGTAACAGAGGGAATCAAAGTTTATTGTGAACTTGTAACCCAACGTTTCCCAATCGAAGGAGAAATTCATGACCGTTACTGAAATACTTAATGCACACACAATCACCTATACAAATCGTGGAAAATCCGAAGATCGAGTTGCGCGTAACACCAGCTAACGAGCCTTCGAATAATTGAAAAAATAACGGAAATATTTATAGTGAGAGTGGAATGAAGAGGGAGGTAATTAATGAAGAGTTCATGTCCAAGTAACAGATGAACTTGGTGTTGTTTTTATACCCGAGCAGAAAACTTTCAGGCTATGAATGGGCGACCTTGTATCCGGTAGAATACGACAACTCGAAATCCTTGTTGCAACAATAATATTAGTTCGGTATTCAAATTTGTTTAATAAACGATTTATCATTTTCAGACACAAAGGTTTGTATTACAGTGATTGCTTATCCAGAGCCGTGTTCGTAGCAACATCTCGCATGAAACACAAACAGACAAAAACCAGTCTCAATGTAGACTTAAAAATGATGGCATTGCAGATTACAGATGCCATTGCAGAGTTCAAACACTATCCGAGCACCTTAACCAGAGTATAGTATTTGGATAGGCAATGCGAAACCGTACTATTCCGCTCCTTACAAATATATTAGATCGTAGTATTGGTGGTTGCTTATACATAACCTAGTACTGATTTAAAAAGCTGTAAAAAGTAAATACATTCACTCACTTTCACATTTTCCGAGCTTTTGTCCCCATTTCATATTACTTGTGCATGTGGTGGTTGATTCACCTCCAACAAGTTCGAATCCATTGTTGCATTTTGCTTTACAGACAGATTTAAAATCTGATCTTTCACTACAGCGGACTACGCCGTTCTCCAATGCCTGGTAAGTTTAATAATGGCTGTTATAAGACAATGGTTGCGAACCGTTGTTATAAGAGATAAGTTAGTGACGAGTAGACTGACTATGATGATGTAAGCTAGAATTTTAGATTTTCAACCCTACAATTTTTATTTCACTATACTTGCGACATACAATATAACGTGAACTTTGCAATTTCAGAAAAATCTATTCAAATAATATTTTTCGCCCCAGGGTAGTATAATTTTCTTCTGCCTAACTGCCTAGTATTTTTGAAGTCTGTCTCGTTTCAACATCAACCGACATAAGAAAAGACAAAGATAAGCCAATATACAGCTGTTGAAGTATTAGAAATCGCTGGCAAGTATTCTATAAATAATTCATCTACTTCTAATTGTATAAAACACACCTCTTGCAACAGTTCAGCTGAGGGTTCACACTTCACTTTCTTGCACTTTGGAGGTGTCTGTACGTCCCAATACCCAAGTTCTGTGCAGTTTACTAAAACCGTTGTCGGATCATTGGGGTCAATCTGCTCCGCCAGCTCATACCCGCCGTCGCACTCAAACAAACACCTGGACGTGAAGTAATTGCTGTCATTGCAGGTCACTTTACCGTTCTCGATTGTGTCGAATCCAGCTGCCGGACACGTAATCTCTGAATAAAAAAGTACGGTGTGAGATTGCTGTAATATTGGAGATAAACTCTGCAACATACAGAGCTTAAAAAGTAGCTTCCTAACCCACATTAGTACTGGTCAGGCTCCTCAGCGACAGAAAAATCTATAATTCAAATTTTCACATAATAAATATTACACAAAAAAGATACTGTGTTCTTTGGATATTTTTGACTACGCCATTTGACAAATGGCTGTATTAAATGTGTATAAATTATGATATTATGGATATACGGCGGTATCAAGCAATGTTTTTATCACATGTTCCAATTTCAACTTCGAATTTTGACGAGATTTTTATATGTTTCCCGCCTTTACTTCGAACAAGAGACCTTCAAAACATGAGGAACTGCTGATTATAGGTCTTCTCTGCCATGGTCCCCCCTGCATATGGAGACGTCAGTTTTTGTTTCACTTGGTGGCCCAATAAAACAGAACCCATCACTTCTAGGAAAGAGAAGATTTTACCCGAAGGTTTCAGTAATCTGGAAGGCTTTGTATAAAAGTTACCTTCTCTCTAGCATATGTTTCTAATGACCTATGTTCTGTTTTTTTGGAGTCACTCTGTACAAATATAAATAAAACGTCTCGGAAATTTATAAATAGATTTCGAAGTAATGAACTTACTTTCGCAGTGAATAACTTCGCCTCCCCAAGATTTATCAGCTTCGCAAACGATTCCATTTCCTGCCTTTAGAGAGGATTCAGTCAGCATGTATCCTGTCTTGCAGGCGAAGGTGCAGAAAGATTCGTATCGGTTATTGTTCGTGCATTTCATTACTGCATTTGCAGGCGCTTTAACTTCGTTGCAATAAATCCCTAAAAGTAATTATATCACAGTTCAGTGGTCGTGTACTATGACAATGAGTTCATTAGTCAGCAATCTACACAGGAATCCTAGAATTCCTAAATTGATGAAATCCTTTCTCCCCCTTTCACATATATACAACAAACCGCCTTCATGACATTGTTGACTTGAATTGTTTCATACAAACTACTACATAGTTATATATTTGTCTTAGAAGTAAAGGAATTATATATCTTTAGCGGCTTTCAACTGCGCTTTTTCGTTGCTGTGGTGAATTATTTCAGATCTACTGATATACATGTCTCAGTGATAGACCTACCTATAGAACTGCTTGTCATTGATGTTGATCTTTATAGTAATATCAAGGTGTAATCAGTGGTTTTTCAATAGCAATGACAGTAATTTCAGATAAAATTTGTATTTGCTACAAGCGAAGAATGACATAATTCGGTGCTCCAGAAGTATGCGTACCAAGATGTCGCACAGCCTGAATCCTAACCGGTACACACATACTATGTTCAGGTTGTGCGCCATCTTGGTGCGCATACTTCTGGAGATCAAATAATTCTTTATTAAAAGAGTTGCTGAACACCTATTCTAGATAAACTTTCATGAGCAAATACTCACTGTTGCAAAGTCCAAGGCCGTTACTCCAGTCACCAGTGTGCATGCACGTAGCGTTTGGTTCTCCGGTAAGTTCGTATCCTTGCACGCACGCAAGGCCGCAAACAGAATCAAATTTATTCTCATCAGAGCAACCAATTTCACCGTTTTCTTGTGCCTGAAAATATAAAAAGGACGATAATAACGAGTGTATGAATAGTGAATAGTGAACCATGCGGTTAAATCGTAGTGTTAAGCCAAATGCTGTCAATTTCTCTACCTATGTGTTAATGGGTCCGTATGCACTAACCATGGGTCACAAAATTTTTTTGACCGCGGGCCTGGTATGACTCAAACTGTGTTGAAACGGGCCGGACAAATATTTTTGTCAATGCAATACAATAAATTCACAAAAATTGGGAAATCCTTTCAATTTATTCAACAATATATGTTCTACATTTCTGAAGACCTGAATATCAAATTCTATATATATTGCAGAATATAGATCGAGAACATCCTAGGAAAACAAATATACAAGATTTCTATATATATATATAGACGACAATCCTGAGTTTAGCTGTTATCAAAATGTTGCACTACTACGGACTGCCTGCTGTAGCAGGAATTCCATGAAATTTCGACATAATTTAGATAAAATAAACAACCATTATCTGGTATTTGATTTTTATTCATTAGCGCATAAATTTCCCAACATTCGGAGCTTTTAAAATTACGCTCAAGTTATACGTGGTGCAAATTAATGATATTTTCTATGGACACCAATAAAATTTATGTGGACGTGTGTATTTCTTTCCTAACTTGATACATGATACTTACCAATTTTTATGGAGTTTGTACAATCAGAACATCGTTAAATTTTACCCATAATGAACCACTGTCAAACATCATGCACAACTCCAGCGTTTATTTGCGACGAACTTTCGGCGGTGTCAAGACCGTTGCCAGAATAAAATCCTGAAATAGTCTCAATATTCCATAGATGTGACGCAGATTGAAAGATTAGTGATTGGTATGTGTTTTTTTTTCATATTTATTACAGTTCTTATTAAAAAGCTTTTTATAAACTGGATATTGTTTTCTTATTTTCACTCAGATCTATCCACTGGCGCAGTTTTCATTCAAATCGGATGAACTTTATTTTTTTTTGTAACTTACCTACATGAATATCCGCATTTAAGCAGTACAAAAATTAGTGTGACTTGTGAAATTGGAGCAGTACGCGAGGGATTACAGTACTGTTAGCGCAAAATGCACATTCGACGTTCATTTTAGAACGAAGACGTAAACAGTTTCGGCGAGTGCATCTTTCGCAGAAAACGTTGCCTCCAGGTAGAAAATTTTAGCCTATTTTGTCACAGCTATTTCTTAGACTAATTTTTCATTACTACTATTAAAACTACAACTCCTCAAGAGACAAATGATGATTGACTTATTTGATTCATACTTAAATTTCCCAAACACAACCAGAAACTAACGAATAGCATTCAGAATCGCAAAAACGAATTTTTTACAACCATGACTGAAAATCTGTCAGGGTGACGAAAGTGTCTGAGCGGATGCGAAATTATTATTACGTCCATTATTACGTCATTTTTTTGCATCTTGCTGATTGGCCAATGTTATGAAATAAACAAGGAAGACGATGCTCGAGAAATTTTTCTTGGAAAAATATTTGGCCACTTTTGTGTGTTATTGCGGGCCTGATAAAATGACGACGCGGGACGGATCCGGCCCGCGGGCCGTAGTTTGGTGACCCCTGCACTAACTGGACGGATACTGTAGCAAAAATCAAACTGTCTTTATTGAATATTTTATTGGCGTAATGTATTCCTAACTATTTATTCTTTGTTTCTACTTTTGTGTTACTGCGTTAGTATATACTGACTGCGAAAATACTGCAGCAGACATCAAAACACTTATCCTGAGTGATTCCGAAATCAAGTTAGGTCACAAACAATCGTATAGTTTTCTACCTCTTTAAAACTTGAATCATCAGCTGGGCATCGTCGTTTCTCGCATGTAGGCTTAGGGTTTGTCCAAGTCATATGAGCCGTACATTGCGTTGTGTCAATCTGTCCTTGTGTCATCTGGTAACCTCGGTCACATTTGTATTTGCATTCAGATTCGAATAGATTCTCATTCGTACACTTTGCGAATCCACCTTCTAATGAGAGATTTTCCTCGGGGCATTTCACTCCTATCGTAGAAAAAAGTTGGTTAGTAGTTGCAATGTTGGACTTAAATATTTAATCTAATATCGCAGCTTAAATTTTTGGGGCCGATACTTATCTCAATGACCAATTAGTTTATATGCCGTGTCGGACCTGAAAGATCCTTTCACTCCAACACCAGCTCGCTCGCGGGGAACCTCCAAAGGGAAGAACCACATCAGAAGTAGGCCCTTAAAAAGCAGTCTGGGGCATCACGACTCGCGTCAACCAGTACTGTTGCCGGCGTTAACCACCGTCTACTAACAAATGTGTCAGGATCTTTAAAAATCGAATAGTCTTTGGCCCACATGTAGAAAACGAAATCAAAATATTTATTCAAAAATACTGGATTTACTTTTAATTGGAATCAGGGCCGATATGTCACCACGGGTGTATAAAATTTCGCCATACTTAATTTTATTCGAAGGCGAACGACGTAACAAATATTCCTTACTTGCGCATGTCGGTGCATCACCGCACCAATTTCCATCAGCTTTGCATTCTAATCCTACTTCATCGTCATAATCGTTCTCGGGGTCGAAAATTTGGAATCCTGGTCGACAAATAACTTGACAGCGGGATTTGAACACGAAACCTTCTGTACACAGCAAGGTACTGTCATCTGGAGCTTCCAGGGGAGGACACGAAATTTCTGTAAATAAAAAATTGGATTAATAATTTTAATCGGTCTCTATACGTCAAACACAGTTTTCTAAAGATTCCAGGGAAGACGCGAAATTTATTGAAAATATAGAACTATGATTAGTAGATTTTATTTAACACAGGCGTATCAAATATTCAAATACATTTAAAATCAATATATTGAATCTCAATTCAGAAATAATCTGGGTTTTTCTGTCTGACAATCTGATCAATATGCCAACGTATGATTTACAATGAATAACGCAATTTGTTTTGAGTTTTGGATTCTAATGTTTCGACTGTATGTGTCTATGGCACCGTTGTGACAAATTTAGCAAGTAGTTCATACGAGGATGATCTATAGTAAAACATGCAGAATTGGTAAGTATCAAACAATATATGTTTATAAAATTCGGACCGTCGGAGAAACTTGATCGTTGGATTTTTACTATTTCCGCAACTGAACCATTCTGTGATGTCGTATCCTGTTGTGTAACCGACACATAATTTACTGATGGAAGAACTCGATTTGATAACTTACTGTCGCAAACTCCAAGCAGTGGTGCCCATGTCCGGCTACTGAGACATTCTGTAGTTTTGTCTCCGTCCACCACTTGGAATCCCTTATGGCAGGTGATCTTACATTTTGATTCGAAGTTAGATCCATCAGTGCATTTGATTTCACCATGGATCATTTCCTGTAATGAAATTTCAAATATGTTAATTTGTGATATAATGGGTTTCAAACGTCATGCGCTATCATCACATAGATGGTCAGATTGGTATAGAAGTAAGACGTGTATATTTATACACACCTCATTTTTCTCCTGCATGTTCGGGTCACAAACAATCCTTCTACACTCTGGCTGTATGTTAGTGTCCCACTTTTCATCTGAATCACAGGATACAATGACGGAAGTGACGTCAAAATCATCCACCGGGTTGACAAGCTCATATCCATCATGGCAGGTGAAGAGACATTGGGATCCGTAGAATGAACCATCTGTGCATGTGATGTTCCCATTTTCCAATGTGAGGAACTCATCAGGGCATTTCTCTCCTGAAAATATTATAGGAGTTGAATTTTTAGTGCAATGTTTGAGTGGTTAGGGAGTTAGGCTAAACTAGTTTGGTGTGTCAGATATCTCGGGTTCAATGCTCACAAACTAAAACACGTAATAAATAGAGCTCATCACCGAGTTGGTTATATACTGCCTTGATAAAAAAAATCGAAGCTGGACATTTTTATCCAAAAACTAGTCGTTGAAAGTGCGGTTTTGGTGTTATAGTAGAGCTTGGGCTTCAGTATGAAAAGAGTTTGAGAACCCCTGTACTAGAATAATCAAAATTAATTTGCCAAAAAATTTATTACCAAGTCGAATAATGTGAAATATTTTCCTCTTCTATGAGTAATGGTAGTTGTTCATTAGCCATTTTTTCGGTTTGTCTTCTACAATATTCAAATTGTACAAACTGTTTTCTATTTCACTTATTGCAAAAAATTTTCCGACTCACTTGTGCACATAGGCGGGCCACCGGGTGATGTCCAGGTTCTTGTTGCAAGACATGTCAATGTGATTTCATCTTCAACGACAAAATCTTCCTCAGTGAATCTTAAATTAAAAACATAATTAAAGGACTATTGGATGTATGTGCTTTGGTTGTACGTGACCCCCGGTTGAATGTGTCTTGGTTGTATGTGACCTCGGGTTGTATTTGTCTTGGTGTTATGTGACCTATGGATGTATGTAACTTGGTTATATGAGACCCCAGCATATGTGTGTCCTGGTTGCATGTGACCCCTGGATGTGCCTTGGTTGTATGTGTCTTGTTTTGTTTGACTTCTGGATGTACGAGTCTTGGTTATATCTGATATCTGGATGTTTGTAATCTCTGGATATATATGTATTGATAGTATGTGACTCATTAATGTATGTGTCTTGTCTGTATGTACTTTGGTTGTATGCGACTTCTGGGTTATGTGACTTCTAATTGTATGTGTCTTGTTTGTATGTGACTCAAGGATGTATGTGGCTTGTTTGCATGTGACTCCAGGATATATGTGACTTGGTTGCATGCGACTCCTGTATGTATGTGTCTTGTTTTTATGTAAATCTTGGATGTTTATGCCTTGATTATACGTGATCTATAGATATACATATCTTGGTTCCATGAGACCTTTGGGTCAACTCAATAAATACATCACAGAATTGATATCCCACCCTGGAGTTGCGGAACGCCTAAGAGTGGCAAGAGTCGCAATAAGTGGCTCACTTCAGAAGAGTCAAAAAAGCCCTTTTTCTTGTCCCAAAGACTTTTTTGATGCCCCCCTGGGAAAACAGAGGGTCAGGTTTGGGAATCATTGATTAAACCCTGAACAAACCCAGTTATAGTGTCAAACACTCACCTGTATCCCCCATCGCAAGCAAACGTACAGGTTGAATTATAGAATTCATCATCTGTGCAAGACTTGATCGCTGAGCTGGGAGTGTCGAGACCTCTGCATACAATTTCTGAAAATACAAAGTACTTGTGAGTTGTGACTAAAACATTTTTGGTTAAACTATAACTACTAGAGATGTAGTTTGGTTTTTTTGTGCTGCTTTCTTTTAATCAAAGTATTAACATTTGAGCGACACAAATTTCTCACCTAAGTACTAAATATTAAAATGAGAGTCTTACTTTTGCAATATCCGATATCATTGCTCCATTCAGCTTTCTCTGTGCATTCAGTCTTTGGTCTGCCAGTAAGTTCATAGCCTACATCACAATTCAAGGAACATACTGAACCATACCTGTTGGCTTCTGTGCATTCTATGTCACCATGCTCAAGTGCCTAAAAATGAAAAATTATGACGTTAAAACTCAAAAGTATGAATTTTAATAAAAGATTTTGCTCAAAGCAGGTTCACGCACATTCAGATGTAATGGAAACTCATCTCCAAGAAAATTTACTGAAATAATATAGACGTGTGATAGCACAATACGAGCTAGTAAGTGCTGATTTATGAAAGGATTGAAGCATTTCAAGTCAAAACTACCAAAAAAACATTTTATGAGGCAGAGAAAAATATTATTGGGAAGATTACAAAATAAGACATAGTATCAATCAATGGACAAAGATGGCCCAATGGCCGAGTAAGTCCTCTGATTCAGAAAAGTTATCTTGTTCAAACTCTACGCCGATAACTTTGCCAGGAGAGTAATGAATTTAGTGGTACAACGAAATATAAATGGGTTTTCGTCAGGTAAAATAGTAGTTCTGCATACATCAGTGATTGTTTACCATGGGCCTCTAAGTGGCCAATGGTCGTTTTTTTGCGGGCAGTAGGCACCGGCATTCACAGGGTATCAATTGCGACGACCACATTGATTTAAATCAAATCGACTGTGTGGTCTGTTTAATATTTTGACTGCAGGTAATAAGAAACACGAATAAATAACATTCGAGAAAAACTACAAAAAAAAACACCTTTAACAAATGCGGGGCATCATACGCGCAAGTTTTCTTCTCACAGATCGGTATTTCAAGAGACCATGTCTGATTGCTCAAGCATTCTGACTTCACCACGTTCTGATCCTTCAACGCCATCTTGTAACCTTTCTCGCATTCGAACTTACAAACTGACTTGAAGAAATTCAAGTCTGTGCACATGACGGAACCAAATGGTAGCATCAGGTAGTCCTCTGTACATTTGGTTTCTGGAGTAATATAGAAGAGGAATTTTACATAGAAAGCAGATAAAACATTATTTATTATATTTCATTATTCAGCAGTTTTAAACCCACGGACTTGTGTTTGAGCTGTGAAGTCCACAACCGCTCATCTGTACAAAACACGAGGGGAATATACTTAATAATTCTTTCACTCTCTCTTTTTTTCTAGCAGTTTAGGTTTTGTGGACTAATAACTCAACCAGGTGTTTTAAAAATCATGCAAAAAATAGCATTTATAATACGCAGTATAGAATCTATGCCTTCCCTGTGCACCTAAGGAATACTGCATAGATCGCAGGTTTTAAATTTCTGACTGAAAGTGTAGTGAATTTCGTTAGCTAATACTTTCAAAAAGGCAGGTGCATGCCCGACTGCTGTACTCCCCGAGGGCGCTAGCGCTCCGCAATAATGCACACGAGTGAATTCAATTTTGCACGCCGAAAATTTGCAATTGCTCACCAATGTAAATCGGTTTAAATGGTTTTTGAATCAATAATCCAGTATATTGTACCAGCTCACATACCTGTGACTGCCTAAGTAATGAGTAAAATACTCAAATTGCACAGAAATAGACAAGAAGTTTGAAACTTACTGAGACAATTCGGTTCTGGATTCGAGAATTTTCGGTTCGATAAGCATGTTGATTCGCTTTCGCCTTCTAATTCGTACCCATCATCGCACATGAAAGCACAAATTGATTCGTATTTGTTGTCATTCGTGCAATCCATCTTCGAGTTTTGGGGTGGTTTTAAATCTTTGCAGGTGATCCCTGAAAATATAATTGATGTTCACATACTGTTTGTTAACTAAAAGTATCGATATAGCGGGAGGTTTTAAATCTTTGCAGGTGACCCTTGGATATGTATTTGGTGTTCACATATAAATCGCATGCAATTGATTTGGTACTGATCTGTTATTGTTCCACTGCTAGAAGCTAAATTAGATTACATATTTCCCGCCTTTCCCGCTAAATAATAATTAGTAAGATAAACAGTAAAAGGAAGAGCATTAGTCCAACTTATCTCAGCCTTAGATTGGATAAACAGAATTAAAGATAAGATATCAGAAAATTATTGTTTGGTCAATATCAGGAAATAGCACTTGCAACCTCCTGATGCACAAAACTACGCCAGTGATGAACCACAACCTACATAACAACAGTTTATTTTGCTACACTTTTGACAGCCCAAAATTAACAGAATTAGGGAGAATTGATTCATTGGGCTATAACAACAACAATATATTACTAGACATCCACATACTCACTTTCACAATGTCCCAACCGTTTGTCCCAGGTGGCGGTCTCTGTGCATTCAATCTGTCCTGATCCACCGGTGAGCTTGTAGCCTTCATCGCAGGCTAAGGAACAAACTGACTCATATCTGACACCGTCTGTGCAGGCTATTGCGCCGTTCTGAAGTGCCTGGATAAGCAAAAATATTATTTGTTTCAATATAGTAGCACAAGTTTTATATACAACCTGAGGGATAGGAAAGGAGATAAGGCGGCTTAAGCATGCGACTGAACACGGCTTCTTGTTCCGGTCCATGTCGAGTATAGAATTGGTTCTGAAGAGTCTGCATAAACTAGATTATTGTTGTTTTGATCATGTTTAGTATAACATACTCTCGTTATCATTCCTTCTCCAAAGTTGCATTCCCTCTTCACACAAGTTGGTTTGTTTCTTGTCCATGCCTTGGAAGCCCCGCACATTGCATTGGGAATGTCTTCGTCCATTTCGTATCTGAGAAGAAAAGTATGAAATATATCATAGAAGTGAACATTGGTGAAGTTACTTTTTGAATTTGACTTGATTATCTTAGCATGTAAACTACAGTTGAGGAAGCTTACCCAGGATCGCATTTGAACCAACAAACAGACAAATATTTGTTTCCTTCGGTACAGTTTGCGCTTCCGTGATCGAGGAAGAGGTTTGTTGTTGAGCATGTCACCTCTGAAATGAAGTTGATAAAATTAAGTTTGATTTTTCGAAAAATGAAAATATAATCAAGTTCAGGATGTGGGGTACATCACTTCAATCGGAATGTAACTAATTAAGTGGAAAATGCCCAAATTGAAAGATTGACTTACTTTTAAAGATTGTAGCTTAACAGGCGCTGCCTTGTAATCCTTGTTTAGAGCAAAAGTGTTGATTTTTTTCGTAAATACAAGTTACCAATCGTACACAGACAAAAACAAAAAAGCAGCGCAGTGAAAACTCTGAACGCATGGTTACGTCTTTTCATAGCTTTTTCCCGCTCCGGAATAAACAACAATAAATCGGTCCTATATCACTAATTGGAAAACGTAATATTTGATCTGCTTAATCTAATTTTTAGGTTAATTTAACGAATTAGAAATATTTGCATCAATATTTTACAAAAAGAAAATTTCAGTTCTCGTCATGCTTTTGAAATGCATGTTAATTACTCACTGACGCATGCCGGTCTCTTATTGGTCCACAGTTTGTTGTGTAGGCAAGTAGTCTTGGGGTTTCCTATCATTTCATACCCAGAATGACAAGTGAACACACATTCAGATTCGTACTCGTTACCAAGAGTACATGACATATCGCCGTTGTCTGGAGCTTTATATGCAGGGCATTGGATCCCTTAAAAATAAAATGGTTTATATCAGTAAGCTTAGAGCTATAGATAGGTTTATAACAAGATGTCAGTAGTAGAAAGTGACTTACTGGGATTTTCAAGCAATTGAAGTTCACACAGTCAAAGTAACAAATAAGCGGATATAACTTCAAAAATACGTAGGTTTCAGGGGGAAGTTTTAACGTGAAATATTGCTAACAAACGGAAACCTATACATTGTCGAAAGGGAAAATAGCAGAGGTTTTTGCCTAGGGAGAAGGGAAAGGTGAGCGAAGTAGATGAGAAAAAGATGGATCATTACGTGAAAATTACAGCTATTGGTTATAAATCACATCGAGCGGAGACGCTGCAAAATACGCTGAGTCTATGTTTTAACTGAGACACTGTGAATACTTGCGCATTGTGGTGATTTACATATTGCTTACCAATGTGAGTCATTGCTTTGTTATTTTAGTATCAAATATAAAACACAATGAAGTCACATATAAACAATATTCGGTACTCCTGGATTAGCGCACCAAGATGTCGCCAAAGCTGAACCCTGACCTGGTATACAACCTGAGTTCAGGTTGTGCGCCATCTTGGTGCGCATACTCCAGGAGGTCCCAATATTTATTTTCAGCTGGTCCAGAATGGGGGTGTGAGAATAGGCTGATGATTTCTCAGCAGTGCGAATTAACTAACTCTATTACTAACAGTAACCAAAATAATAGGGGCTGTTCTAGTTTATGGTTATACAGTGTATGCAGTGGTGGGATTCAAATTTTTTGTCAACCGGTTCTATCACAAAAGTCATATTTTTCAGCCGATTCTGTTACAAAAAGTCATGTTTTTTTTTCAGTAATGCTAACCGGTTCGCTGATTCGCCGGTTCACCGATCGCTTGATAAAATTCCGTGAGACGGTCATATAGAACCGGTGCGAACCGGCTGAATCCCACCAATAAGTGTAGGGATAATAACTGTGGGTTTTTCCAGTAAACAACTGAAATCTCACAAACTTACTTGAGCAATATCCCAGTTCGCCATCCCATTGCGCAAACTCATTACATTCAACAGTTCCAACTGTCATTCCTGACAACTCGTAACCTTTGTCGCATTTCAATGAGCAAACTGATTGGTAGAAATACGAACTTGTGCAGGTGACTGTCCCGTGCTCTCTTGCCTGAGTGAGATGAAAATAGGTCTTTAGCATTTCACGTAGCGCTATACATACTTTATTTACATATAATAGTCGGAATTTCGATTTTTGCTGGTGTCGCTTTTTATGTTTTCAAAATCGCAAAAGCCGAGTTTAGATCAGGGATCTGCCATCCGAATTCGAGAGCCGAATTTCTGGATTGGGCATTTAAAAAAAATAGAAAAATACAGTATGGCTTATAGTCTGATTTCAGTTAGTGGAAATAATTGACTGAGATTTTGGAGTAGTAAACGTGAGTAAAATCAAAATTATAATACTTTTGTTGTCATAGCAACTGTGTAAAACAAATCAAAACTGTTTCTAGAAGCCAGTTTCAATTTGTAAACAATTTATTTATATTTTAATAACTTCCCCAATTTTGCATACCCATCAATATATTTTTAATGTGTACGATTATGCCTTATATAATGCAATTTCACGAACTACAATGTACCTTCACAAATAATATATCACTTCCATCGCATTGGACTCTCTCGCATCCAGTCTTATCAGCGTCCCATGTTCTGTCCGACAAGCATTGAGCGGATGCGGACCCGGTCACTCGTTCAAACCCGTCGTCGCATTCATATTTGCAAACCGATCCAAACGTGTTTCCATTCGTGCAATGTACTTTCCCGTTCGTTATTCGCATGTGGTAGCTTGGACATGCGATCTCTGTAAAAAAGAATTGGTTTTGTTATTCCTCAGATTTGAATGTGCAAATGTGTTAGCTTGAGTGAAGTGCAGAGTCAAATATGAGGCAAAGCCGTATATTTTCAAAGTGGCTTAGTACATAATTGTGTACATAATTGTATCAGTGATGTGCAAGTTGAAAATGTGTCTTAAACTAAAATTGAATAAACAAATACTTTGTGTCAAAATTCAAATGTCAATCATGCTAAATGTAAGACAAAATATTATCAAAATGATAATTCGAATTTGTGACTTACTTTTGCATTTTGGTGGTTTCTGACTGAACTTTTTATCAGCTAGGCAAGTGGATGACTTGTTGTGAGTGGCCTCATGCCCAGGATCGCATGAAAACAAACAAACTGATTCAAATCGAAGTCCATCGCTACATTCGATCCTTCCGTTCTCGAGCGGTTTGAACTCTTCACAAATGATCTCTGTAGAGACACAGACATGGTAACAAAATACAGATTCGGGGTCAATACTGATCACGTGAGACATTTTGGAAGTAAAAATTATGAATTATTTAATCACGAACTAAATATGAATAGATTTCTGAATATAAGTAGACGCGGGAATGTTAATTGGGAAATGAGTTTAAGGTAACATTGTTTACGTAAGGGACTTTTAATAATCAGTAAGTAAAAACGAATCTAAACCTAATATCGGCAAGTGAATCCTTGAAGTTAAATTATGCGAAGGGTTTGAAGACAAAGTGAAAGCCTGGGTATACGAGAACTAAACAGAACTAAACAGATCTAGTATTACATTAGTACGTCGGTGCAGTTATTTGCACACCAGGAATCGCTTGTACATTAGTCATATTTATTATACATATTGTAAAAGTAAACATGCAGGTATGGTAAGCAGTAGGAAGGGGTTGGAGGGGGAAGTCGCTTTTTTGTGAATGAGATTATTCATGGCATAATGGCGGTCAGTGAGATTATCTAGGGTGACAAATTGCTAGATTTGATATATATGACATACTTGTACAATATCCTAGGTCAGGTCCCCATTCTTGGTCCGCTCTGCATTCAGTGAACGCGCCGCCCTCAGTCAGTTTGTACCCGGGGTAGCAAGTCACTGAACATATCGACTGATATTTGTTGCTGTTAGTGCAGGTCAATGTACCATGCTCCGCTGCTCGAATCAGAGTTGCATAGCCTTGTGGGCAGATCTGTGAGAAGTGATAAATAGTAAAAAATTTCTCAAGCTCTGCATTTAATTGCCACTCCTGAGCAACTAGTATGATTTTCTCATATAATCAGGAGAAGAAAATATGATAAAATGTCAGGTTACCAATCCATACCGTGCTTTCAATATTTAAACATATATGCATGGGTTCGAAGATTTAACTATTTAAAAAGCTGAAATAAACTCCCAGCCCTTTTATATTTAAGCGCTCTAATGATTAGACAGTTTGATTTTTAATACATTGGCTTCATGGGTTAACAATCTCAGGATAAAATACTGGCTCAAGATATCGGTTATGCCTTCGACCTCAACCTGCATGTAATCAATACTTGGAACTGGACAAATTCCGGTCGTTGGAAAATGCAGAGATGAAAAACGTAGTTACACCTCAAGCATATGGCAATCCACAGTCTCTACAATTACCAGTTAGTTATTATTTGTTTCAGATGCATGCACTTGAAGCCGTAACTGACCAGTGGTGTACTATTGAATAAGTTTTATATTCATGTTGGAAAAATGGAAAGTCAAAGTCGACAAACGGCTTAATCATTAGGCGAATCAGGCCTCACGCCCGGTAACCAGGCATGTTAAACATGATAATAGTTACTCAGTTATGTGTTTCAGATACATGGACTTAAAAATGTAACATTTAAATGAAACCCCTTCATACCTTTCTTTCACATTTTGGCTTCTCTTCATCCCATGTGTAAGTCTCCAGGCATTCAACGACGTCCACGCTTTCCGTTGTGAGTTGATAACCAACATCGCATTTGTACATGCATCGTGAAGCAAGTTTGTTATCGTTCGTACAAGACACCTTACCGTTGGGAACATTCAAAAAGTTCTTCGGACAGATGATTTCTGTGGACAACAATTTAGGAGGTCACATAATAGAAAAAAAATTTTACGATAGTGGAACACAATTTTTGAAATAAATAATTTGTCATACATTTGCTTGAGCGGCCTTAAATATTTTTACATACTGGTGTGTAAAGTGTCCTAGGTCTGTGATTCTTCATGGTGGGCACATCGACCCTCAAGGCAGTATGTTCTCCAGCTTTTAATTTAGTGTTTCTGAATGAACGGGGAAGGAAGGTATTCTACTGGCGATAAAAACGTGTGAAAAAGAGCGATAAGCCGGCTTACTCATATGGTGAACTGCAGCTTTTCGTTCGGTTACTAGTCCATTTCGGATATGATATTATCTTCCACAGGATTTGAACCTTCGAACCCACACACGGTTATCAGGGGTACGATGGCAGGCGTATTTCCAACGTTTAGCACGATGTGCCAACCGCTGCTGAAAACGTCGCATAATATTTTACAATGACACATAAATTTACAACGAACCTCTGCAGGACGGTGGGGGTTTGGAGAAAGTCTCGGTAGCCAGGCATTCTGTCTCTTGCATTCCGAACAATTCGTATCCGTAGTCGCATTTGAAACTGCAGACAGATTCAAACTTGTTCGCGTTTGTGCATTCCATCGATCCATGAGATGGGACTTTGATTACTTTGCACTTTCGTCCTGCAAAGGTATAAAATATATAAAAACGTCAGAAGCAATATGTTAGGCCGCATATGCATGAGAAAATATGCATTATATGAGCAAGTCATCAATTTGTCAATGAGTCGATTCGGTCAGACATACGTATGAAATACATTCGCGTTAGTGTGCTGCGACAATCTTGCATCAATTTAAATACTCATCTTTATGTTTGCTGCTCGCATCATATTCAGGGGTGGGGGGTTGTTATAGAGGCCTGGGCAGCACTTAGCAGATTCAATCTGTAGTTCTCGTTATTGCACATGTTTTTCTTTTACATGTGAGTATGTTGCTTGGTTTGATAATTTAAATAAGAATACGGACATTTCACTCATGCTTGATCTTCAATTTATTCATTCTTATGTTTAATTTGTTTATCCCCGAATTATTTTGAAGTCAGGTAAAAGGGCATCATTAACCGAAACTCGCCCTGAGCAGCACTACCGCAGATACACTACCGCAATAGCGAAGAGGGCGGATAGATATTCTCGCGTAACCCCAACTGACAGGACATTATTGTGATGGATGATTTCAAGTAAGACTCTAAATATCGCTACAACATAATGGGAACCACTATCGAAAAACTAATGAAAAGATTCGCTCAAAGCAACATCACGAGCATTCAGAAATAAAACAAACACATCTCTGAGCCAAAGTTACAGCCAACCACCACAGGCTACTACTATACTAAAATTATATCAAATCACAGCGGTGCCTTACGTTTACAAACTCTGTACTGAGTCTTTAATTTATAGCGGTTCTCAAACGGTGGGGCGCGTCTCACAAAGGAGGCGTAGTCAATTTTTTGATGGGCCGTGAAGCTAAATAAAAATATCAAAAATTTCGTCTTACAATCTGTTATTTGTAGCTTATTGTTAGCAAGTTGTTTTAGAGGTGGGACGCGAGACAAATTTTTAAAAAGGGGGAGCGTATTAAAAAGTTTGAGAATCACTGCTATAAATAGGTAAAACTTACGTTCGCAGAATCCAATTGCGGGTTCCCAATCAGCGTCCTCGTTACATCTTGTTGAAGCTGAACCAATGAGCTTGTATCCGACGTTACATTCAACTGTGCATTCAGATTTGTACCAGAACGATTCAGTGCAGGTTACTTTGCCGTTCAATCTTGCCTGGATGGAAAGATAAAAACATTGGAAAATCAATATATGTCTATGCACAATTATTTTACCATTATTGCAGTTCTTGTTTAAAAAGTTCCTAAATGGACCTATTTTTATTAAAATCGAATCACACCATGTTTCATTCTTTCGAAAATCAAATACTTTACGATAAAGCGACCTGATTGATTAAGGCATACAGACTCTACTGCTTCAAGATGCAATTATATAGCTTTTGGAAATTGGTATGCTTGAAAAAGTCAAGTTAGAATTGCATTTAAAAAAATATGGCTTGAATAACAAAATGATGGGTTAACCTCGACCTGCGGGCGGACAAAGAAAAAAGAGATGGTGGAAATAGATTCGAAATTCCCGTCTGAATCAATTCGAATATTTTAGTATTCGATTAGAAATGCCCATCCCTTGTGACGAGTCAAGTGGAATAAGACATCATCCGAGTCTTGAGTCAACTCTGGATTCCAACAAATTTCGCAGCTCGAATTCCAAAACGAATCTTTAAATGACTTGGGTCTTTTTGAGTATTTGAGAGAGATTTGACTTGGGGCGCGTCAATCACTTGACTCTTTCAAACGCTTGTTCATAATGAGTACGTGTAACTGAACATTTAGAACTTACAAAAATACTTACGAACCTTAGCAAGTGCTCCATCATGCAAAGAGCACTGTTTTCTCTGACACACTGGCAGCTTTCCTCCCCATTTTGCATTGAACTGGCATCTCAGCACAACGCTCTCCTTCTCTTCCAGGACAGAGCCTCCAAACACCATCTCATACCCTGCATCACACACGTAGGTGCATTCCGACTCGTACCTAGCTCCATCTGTGCACGTAGCGCTACCGTCAATAAGCTTGGTGTGAGTCATGGGACAGAATATTTCTAAAATATAAACATACGTGATAATATTACGTGCACATATGTATTGGCAAATGGTAGACAAAACAAAATTGGAGATAACACTTTTGGAAATTTATAATAAGGTAAATGATTGTAAGAATTATGTATAAAAAATTCTCAGGCCGCATAATTATCTAAACTTAATCGGCCATGCTTGTCCAATAATAGTGTTTGTTGAAAAAAATATAAAGATAAAAAATAGGTACAAAATAGGCTGATTCGTATCTGGGGCGTATACACCTACTAAATATACTCACTGATATACAATTGTATATCTACCTTGTGATCTTATTACCGCTATTCATTTCCGGAATAAAATTCATTTGTGCAGACATTCGGAAGAAAGGTTAGCAAAACTTATTGTTCGCTTCTCGCCATAGTTACTTTACACAATGCATATATAGTTATTTATATAGACTTAGAGTAGATATACTTAGTTGCATGTATTTAGTCCTCTCTATTCTTATTCATTGCCCTGATATGGGGCGTCTATATAGACATTCAAGACTTACATTGTTTGCATTTTACAAGTTGTACATACACTTGCTTTAACTAAAGAACTTACTTTCGCATCTTGGAGCTTTCTTTGTCCATTTGCGATCATACTGACAGAAAGAAACGGGAGTTCCGACCAATTTGTACCCGGGGAAGCAGCCGAACAGGCATCTTGATTGATAGCGGTTGGAAGCGGAACATTGGACGGCTCCGTTTAACAGAGGTTCGAACATGGCGCACCGGATACCTGGAAATATGTAATTGTAGATCTCAGTTGATTAAAAGTATTTGTATAACTTTGGCAAAATATTATTCTGCGCATCGTTAGAAACACGCCAGATATTAATTCCCTGTCTTATATGCATAATGCCAAAGGAGATTTTAAGTACAAGAGAATTGTTTGGCGCAGTCCTAAAGGGGTTCACATAATCACAGGTCAAGTACGACAACCTCCAACGCCAAATCAATGCATCTGGAGCAAATAACAGATAACTAGATATCTATTTGTACAGCCGAACTGAAATGACAGCAAACAAGAGTTAGTGATTCGCAATATGCCGTCGTATCAACGATCCCCGTAGATAAACGTAAAAACGACTCAAAACGAAGCACTCATACAATATACATAAGCGTCACTCACGTTGGCAAGTTCCAAGCCTGGGTGTCCAAGTCCTGTCGTCCCCGCACATTGTCGAGGCTCTGCCATCCGTGACTTCGTATCCTTTGTTGCACGCAAGTTCGCAGACAGATTCAAACTCATCACCATGCGAACACAAAATGTTTCCGTTCGGTTCCGCCTGAAATATGTGTGTGTAGTATGAAAATATATGGCGCTTTCAACAATTTAAGTCTTTTGCGCCATGCAAATTTTTACATGTCTTTAGTACTTTCTTGGCAAAATATTAACGATTAATAAATTAAAAACAATTGCCCGATGAAGGTTTTGCTGCTCAAAGCATGGTCACACACAATCACTCAGACATGAAAAAGTAACTCTTCTGAGCAAAGTGACTGGCGACAACTGACAAAGTATTGTGTTCGCAAGAATCCATCATAAACTTGGACTAACTTGATGGCAACTCCACAATAAAAATGTTCGTAAAATAGACATTTTCGGAATGACATCAACTCACGGCCACCACCTCACCCAAGGCGTAATAAATTAGGCAATGGTGAACCGGGAAGATTCCATTCTATTCAAACTATGGCAGCTTCTTATCTAGCATGAGCTGCTTGCGCATAGCCTTGTTTGGAGCGAATGGCGTATGAATGCGCCGTATAAAAAATATTAAATTTGAGCCAAATTCTGCGAACTTCAACAGTTCAAATCGATAGTTCTTACCTCTCTCAGGACAGCACTCGGTGGAATACATTTATGTTTCTGGCAAGCTGGTTTCGTGTTGCCCCATTTCCCGGTTGCTAAGCAACTGAGTTTGAGAATGTCATATGAGATTCCTTCGTCAAGTCCTGCTCCGAACGACTTCCGGATATCAGTTTCCGTGTCGATGAACTCATACCCGGGATCACACTTGTATTCGCATGTTGAACCAAAGTAGGTGTCGTCAGTGCATGCCACGGTTCCTTTCAGCAGTTTCATGAAAGACTTTTCACAGATGATGCCTAAGAGAGATGGATAAAGATAACTGAGTAAATATGTTTTTAGTCGTTAGATGGGATTTAATATGTTCATGAAGTCAAGAGTAAGGGTCGGGAGAGAAACAGAAATACCTGAGTAAATATGTTTTTTTATTCGTCAAATATGACTCAATACGAAAGAGAGAGAGAGAGAGAGAGAGAGAAATGCAATATATACGAGACATAGGTACGATTCGTTTAATTGTTGATTGTGTATACATGACAGTAAGAACGATCATGAGTCGGAAACAAGGTTTTGGATTGTCTATGCCAAACCGAAAAATCACATTTTTTCATAAAAAGTAGCTTGCTACGTAGCCGATGATTGTTAAGAGCCTAGTTTCAAGTGGAAAGGTAAAAAAAATCACTCTGCATAACCGCGACCGAGTAACTTACGTTCGCATGACGGAGTCTTTTCTGTCCATGAACGATCGTGCAGACATATCGTTTCCGCTTCCCCTACAAGCTGGTATCCTTCGTTACAGTAGAATGAACATTTCGATTGATATGATGCTGCCTCGGTGCAGAAAATTTCTCCGTTAGATGGCGCTTCCAAAGGTGGACATTGAACCTCTGAAACAAACAACAGATAGAACAAACAATAGATAATATTCATTGTGCTCAATTCAATTCAGCTAGAGTGGTTAACGGGCTAACTATTTTTATAACCATCACGGACCGATAACCGGACGATACGTAGTGGCTGAATGTACGTACAAACCGCCTTGCCAATTTCCTTTTCCTTTCCGAGTAATTCCATAAAAATAAAGTAAGCAACTCCCATACCAACGATCTCTGTTATCGTTTTCTAAAAACTAAAAGTCGAAAGATCTAAAACCAGTCTTACTTTGCCAAGATGCAAAAGCTAATACTTGACGAAAATTGTGTTTCAATACAGTTAATAAGGCCGTATTTACCGCACCAAATTACAAGTGATAGCAGCCAAATAATTCACAGCCCGTAGTAAAGTACATTTCGGCGCGACCTATATCGCTATACGGCGACTCCATTTTTGGTGCCAAGGAATTTGTCTCAATAGACAAAATTATAATAATAAATATCAGATATGAAATTATTTTATTTCCTAAATCTTGCATTTATGACATTTCTACGTTAGCCCAAACCGCAATTTAACCTTCAGAGTATAAAATCTATTTTTTATGTTATTTCTTTATATACTTTTTACCGTATTATGTCTCTGATTTTAATTCCTATCACCCAGCTGACGTTAATTTGAATAGCACATCGCCAAAAATCAGCACCAAAACCGATGGCGCTCACATGACTGCGCCCAAATGGGGCAACCAATTAGATTAAAAAATACGCAGAACAAGTTAATATCGCAAAATCAGAACTCTGGAATCGGAACTGACAAAACAGCATCAAATAGAATGCAATATATATACCGCAGATTAGACGAACTCACTGCGCAGTAATGAATTGCCAGCAATTATTTTATCTGAAATCACAAAACCTTGCTTTTTAGTATTGAATTGGCATTCAGCAATTAATTTTATCTATGATCTATGAAACCTTGCAGTGCCAGGAACGACATGCGATTCCATGGCTCCCCACATAGATACAATAAATATACAAGAACTATATCCACTGAAGCTAAATGCCATACCGATCTTATCGTACTCTCGCTAATTGAAGTACAGTTATTCTCAAGCACGGCATATAGGCATTTATTTACAATAGATTTTGCCTAAATCAAGGCCATACGCACTCGATGTTTGCAAGAAACCGATACAAAATTAATAGGGATACAATGAAGTGAGACAATGGTATCTGGTTCCCGACTGTCACAGCCCTACACGAAGTGTTAGAATGCTATCGCACATCTAATTACCCTGCGTGATTTGAGCTTTGAATATTGTTGGGGATTATTATGCGCGTGAGGACTACTTTCTGAAAGTCGTCGTAAGGTGGTTCTCGTAACTGGTTTTTAGTGACGGCTTCCGCTACCCTCAAGACCATGCATCTGAAACAAATATCTGATTAGTTATTTCCATACATGATTGTAACCGAATGAGAGGCCGTGCCTCGTTATAAGATTCGGCCGTATTATGTTCTTTTATCTTCTCCCGTCGAACTATATTACAAATATTTCTTACTTGTGCATTTTCCTAGTTTTTTATTCCAAACCGCGTCTCCTCCGCAAGTTACTCTGAATGGGCCTTTGACTTTATAACCTTTGTCACAGCTGAGCTCACACGTTGATCCTAACCAGTCCTCGTCCGTACATGCTATGGTTCCATTTCGACGAGTCTGCAATTAGAATATGTTTTAATACTATGCTGAACCAAAGATATTCCCGTCTTTTCAAATAATGATAGCTCTCTACATATCGTTAGATATCATGGGCGCTTGTATAGGGCCTTGGTATAAGGGGAAGGTGTTAGTGCGCTTGGTGCCTCGATAGAATCGTACAACAGTCCACCAGTCAACAAAGTGGTTTTGATGCCATGAGCTTGGCACCTTTACCCTCAGCCCTGGGACAGTGCTTATTCGCATCACACTCGACGGCTATAATAATGTATAGCACGTAGCTTGATACATATGAAAGTACAAATGTAACTCACCCAGGCGAGTTCATCAAACCGAGGTTCGCATCGCTTCCTGATACATTTAGGCTTACTTGAACTCCAGGTCGCATCTTGAAGACAATGCACTTTCGTTACGAACACTGGCTTTGTCTGGCCCTTTATATCTAGTTCGTACCTGTGGAATAAGATAAAAATAGGAATCAATGTGAAATATTCAAACAGGTGGTCGCAATAGAAAAAGCAGGGTTACCAAACCCAGAGGTATATTCCAACTTTGCAAGAGGTGCATTAGATCAAGTATACGGATATTATCTTCATGACTTTTAATCTGCCTCCAAATAATTTTGATAATGTAAAGTATTAGATTTATGAATTTATGAATTCACATTTACATTCCAGCAGGATCTTTAATTACAACTACAGTATCTACTAAGCCCACTTTCGCAGGTCACATGACTTATTTTGTCCAATCACAGTCCGTAGGACATAATTGGCAGTACACGAGCGAAGGTATAAATTTTTCAAAGTTGTCGGGTGGAGATTGAATCCCCCTTCCATTAAAAAATAAAAAAAAAACATCTTTCTGTATCATACATATCAATTTTTCGTAGCTTGAACCGCCTTTTAGAGCCCAAGACTCACGTTTTTCGGTCTCCGGCAGACCCGCTAGCTGTTGCGGCCCAACCTAGCAATTAGAAATGTCAGAACTCACCCTTCATCACATCTCGCGATGCACATCGATTCAAATCGGTTTCCGTCGCTGCATTCAACGATCATGTTCAGTATGGAAAGGAACGCTGGGTCGCAAACTTTCTCTGTGTAGAAAAAAATTGATTTTGGTAGCATGGAAAGGGAGAGCAGTGGAACTGGATGTGAAATTGTCCAAGAATTAAATATTTCGTTTCCGTATACTGCTTTGTATTATTCAGTAAAAAAATTGAACTGGCAGTTTTTAAACTTTTTAAGTCATATTTGTTGTATTAAGCCATTCTTAAAATACTTCTTATCTGGCTATATAGCAGAGTGGCAAACTTTTTCTGTGGAAAACAAAAATGAGTTTTGTCTCATAGAAAGTACGAGCAATTAGGGTATGTCTATGTGAATTGCAAAACTGTAAGAGATTTTTGAAACGTTTATTGCATTTCTTGCAATTAATTTACTCTATGCAGTATCGACCCTATGAAGAAAGCATCGGCCTTTTAAATTTTCTAAGTCATATTTGTTGTAGATATGTTCACATCATCCGCGGCTGCATAGAATAGTGATCCCTATTAATTTTGCCCGCGTTTGGAACTGGTCAGGAAATGATTAAAAATTATCGACACATATCATCCAGACGATAAATAGATATAAAAGGCGTCTATAAAGTTCCTTTACAATTTAAAAAAAATTATCACAAAGTCAAACAATAAATTTTTCAAATTGTAAAGAAACATCACAATGTATATTCCATATATGTACCGATCACTATATAGCTCGTATACAGACATACTTCATCAGGACAACGATAAAGGCGGCAGGATGTTTCATATATTGCTGAGTATTATCAAGCGTTATCTGTTTATTCTGATCTAAATAGTATTCTTACTTGTGCAGGTCGGGACAGGTGAAGTCCATTGCCCATCAGCGCCACATCGGGTCGAACTTTTTCCCTCGAGTCGGAACCCAGGGATGCATTCAAACACGCAATCCGAACCGAACTTGAATCCTTGTGCGCACTTCATGAACCCGGACTCAGGAATGGAAATATCAGGGCAAGAGATTCCTGGTTTAAAATAAAGACATGGATTACAGAAAACTACAAGTCGCACTGTCAAAGAAAAGAAAGAGTATCCCACAAAGCGAAAAATTAAAAACAATTTAACTTTGCATTGACAAACCGAGCCTCTATGTGAACTGGCGCCTGTTTTTGTCAAGAGAAATTACTTTTTTTTTTTAAGTTTAAAGAGGGGGATAAGTGCAGAAAAAATAAATAAAATTAAGGTCGGTTATTTATATATTCATAAAATAAGCTAAGTCTGTTTAAATTTTGCCAAAGGTAAAAATTCTGCAAAGAGGAAACTAGTTTAAAAAACGCATGTCAATAAAGGGTTATGAATTAGGTCAAGGGGACTCAATGAAATATCAGGAACAATCATAACATGGTAGTCGTTACCATTGGTACTGTCAAGGAAATTAATATTCAAAATCAGCTTATATTATTACTCACTTGTGCACGTTCCCATGTCTTTGTCCCATTTGCCTTTCTTCAAACACGTGACGTTGCGAGTATCTGTGACAGCGAATCCAGGAACGCATCGAAGCGTGCAAGTTGAACCAATTCGATTCGTGTTCGTACAAGCGACTCGGCCCTTCTGCACCGCCTCCAATGTGGGGCAAATAAGAACTGAAAATACAAGTGATATTGTCGGTTAACGTTTTAGTGGGCGCAATGCCAGAATCTTGACAAGTGCAAACTGAATACGTTGTCGTTTCGATACATGGAAGGCACTTTGTGAAGCGGATCTAGTGCAATATGAATGAACACTAGTCTATTTAAGGAAGTAACTCCACCTAAATCATAGTTCAATAAATTGAATAGCCTATTAGTCCTACAGAAAAGATCTCTTTTCTCACATCAACACAGAATTTCTTTATATAAGCGGTTACATCTCTGAAATCTTGCTTGCAGCGAGAGCTCAATAGCTCAACGGCAAGGTGAGGGTTCTGGACTCAGTTATGATGGCGTCGTAGTTCAATCCCAGATTCAATCCCCATACTGATAACCTTTTTCAGAATAACTTTTATGACCTCTGAATGGGACGGGACGAGAAAAGATTACGAGGGTTACAAATATACCTCAAATATCAGATAAGCAAATCTTAACCCAGAAGATTTCAGTCTTAGAAACAAGAATCGTACTTGAGCCTTGTACAGAGGTTTGTTTAGAATGAGAAATCTAAGGAATGTCATGCAAATGTATTGGCTGTTAGACAGAGTATTGTTTAAAGAAGGAAATATGAAATGCCTTTAAAGAATGTTCTCTAGATATTTATGGAACGAATGAGCACAATTACAGCATATTATTTTCCAAGTTCTAACATTTCACAGCGTAATTAAAGCAGTTTAATTGTAGATTTAAAACATTTTCAGACTAAAACAAAAGACGAATAAATTCCGATCCACAAGTATTTCGCGGGTTTGATACAACTTCGGTTGTTTCTCTGAGATAATTAGAATTTTTTTCCCTACAAGTCCCTAAAGTACAATAATTCGGGTTAACCTAAATAATGACATGACTTATGTGATACCAGTGGTATCATTGGCCTCGTATCCCGACATCATATCTTTAGGTTCTATAATAGTTAAGAAGCCCAGCGCTCTAACCCGTTGGTTTTCAACTTTTTTGATGGTGCGTAACGCCCACAAAGCATATCAGCCCCCCCGAGAAAACTCTGTGCAATATTTTTAATGACTGAATTGTATAAACTATGAATATAAAAGCAAAGCAATATTGACACTAATGGTCTTTAGAGGGCAGCAATTTTATTCTGATTTTCCCTATTTTAGTTCTGTCACGAGTTCGAGGACTGTCTGTGTTAGTCACGTGAACATACCCCCTGCCAATAGGTTTCAGTCTCTTTACATAACTTGATGTAAAGTAGGCGAACAAAATTAGTTACCTTCATATTGGTACGCACACATCCGGAACGCTAAATTTTGTGCCCACGATGACCCAATGTTAAATATGATGAACCTAACTACTTTGGGATGCCAGTAAAATAATTCGGGTTGAGTTAAATAATGAAAAGGTTTATGCGATACCAGTGGTATCATCGGCCCCGTATCCCAACATCCTCTCTTTAGATTCTTTCATAATTTATCAACTGAATTGTATAAACTATAAATATATATAAAAGCAAAGAAATATTGACAATAATGGTCTTTGGAGGGCGGAAAATGTGATATTAACGGCAAATCTTATAGGAATATGATTATATTCAGACAATCTACAAATATTAATACAAACTTTCGGATCTGAATGGAAACTTGTGGAACCTCTGGACCATACTGACAGAACCGTAAGGTACCGCGGATCCCGGGTGAAAACCACTGATATAACCGCTAGTTTTTATTAGTCAACCTTATTCGGGATCTAATTACATGATGGCAAGCACCTGAACAAACCTTGATAAAATAAATTCGTTACATTTTATTCTAAAATAAATTCCCACTCATCGTAAACACGTGCAAGGGCTTAATAACTGATTTGAAAAATTATAGGTTTCATTTGAGATGAGTTTAAATTGACTTAATTACTGTAATCAAACAAAACAAACAGGCCATGATGTTTCGCATCGTGAATTCCGTTTCAACAGAATTATCGTAAAATTATCAGGAATTTAGAAAATTCTAGATTTAATATAAATAGGTTAATTATATTGTTCGTAGTTTAGACTTATTTATAGTGATAGAGTAAAATAATTTATTGCTCGATGTATCTTTATAGTTGTTTACTTTTGCGGGATCGGCGCAAAATGAAGGGATTGGCCAATAATTCAGTGGGCGCGATTGCCTGATGGTTGGAACGTTGGGTCTAACTATGTCGCCATCTAAGGTTAAAAAAAAACAATTTCAAATTGCATACCCACCACCTCCCCCAGGGGTATGTTATATTAGTTAGGAAATACAGAATCATGATATTCCTGTCCATACACGAATATCGGTACTCCCGTAGTATGTGTACCAGGGAGGGTTAGGCCATAACTTTATTCCGATTTTCTTTATTTTAGTTCTGTTACGAGTTTGGGACTGTCTGTGTTAGCCAAGTGAATATACCCCCTTCCCATCACCTCACCCAGGGTATGTTATATTAGATGGGATGTCGAATTGGAGAGATTCCGATCCATACATGAATATCATCTCATTACCTGTCAGGGGGTTTGTGAGGTAGACTTGCTGGAAGGTTACCGATCGAAATATACAAATCCTACAATTGATGATACCCTTTCGTCGAAGCCGTACAAATTAGTCAAACCCAGCGCGTCAAGGATGGATAAAATGAAAGTATGTACCATGCAATGTAGGAATGCAGATCTTGCACGATTCAGGTCTTTCCGAAAGATTATCAACTTACTTACACATGAGTGGGGATGAGGTAGCGGCAGTTTGAGTTGGTTTCACAGTGTCATACTGATATCAAGTGCACCACCCCTTTTTATAACGGAAACACTCAAGTGAATTGGGTAAGCGATGTCGAACCAAAACTATTTCGGTCTTGTTAAAAATATGGAATTCTTGCATATCATTTGTTCATGCCTTGTTGGAGTGATCACTCGAAATACACCCGTCAGACACATTCTCTCTGTACTTACTTCTGCAAGTCTTTCCATCTGAGTTCAGTTGATAATTCTCGTCGCATTGACATTCGTACGAACCGACCGTGTTCACGCAGTAATGCTCGCATCCTCCGTTGGTTGGATTGCCTTCCTTGTCTAATTCAATGCACTCGTTCTTATCTGTTGGAAATAAGTAAGTGGTGCAAGTAAAGAAAGTGGTACAAGTGGGATATATTCATTACTATGGTGTAAGTAGTGATGGGATTCCTTTTTAGGAACGAGTTTTGTTTTGTATTAAAACAACGGGATCCCTCACGTACGTATGTCAAAATGTAAGCTACATTAACACGCTTTACATAAATCTAATAAATAACTTTCGTAATGCCAAATATAACGATTTCCAAACTTTGATCGTTAAACCTACCTGTGCATTCCAGTTCATTCGATGTCAACCAATTGCCTGCGATTCCGCAAACCGCTGCTCCAGGTCCAGATAATTCGAATCCAGTGCTGAAAACAAATCAATCAGTAATTATGTATTCAGGTATGTAATGGTTCAACTCAGGGGTGACAGCGTGAGGTCACTCAAACATCTAAAGCGGAGTAATTTATATATTATGCTCGACTATATTCTGTGATTACTGATCAGGCAATTTATTAAACAACCAATCCAATCAACTAACTCCGTTTGATTGCCCAACTGCGCTGTCACGTAGGCGCTACAATTGCTCATCCACCATCGACGTTTTGAACACCAAAATGACGGTCAGACGTTGCCCAAACTTCTATTCCTGACTCTATATATAGACCCTAGGTTATCATAAGGCGTCAATATCCGGAGCTTGTCGGTTATCGCATTTGGGCCTCTAGATCAGTTCTGATAATTTTACTTGGATGAGGCAGAGTTGCAGAATCGTCAATACAACAATATACATAAGATAAGCTATTTCAGGCTCTGGTCGATAATCGCAAAGCATGCCTTAACCTGGATGTAGAGTGATTTCAACTTATCTCGCTTATTGTTCCTCAGAGCTCACATCAATGATAGAGTAGAAAACGAACTTACTTGCATTTAGCCTCGCACTCATGGTTGAAGGTATATCTCTTGAATTTACCGCAGTTGTAGAGACCGTTCTTCAGCGTCGGCAGAGACTCGCAGGTTATCTCTGAAAATATTGTTGTTGTTAGCGAAATTAAAATTTGTCTGAGTTGATCTTAAGATTTACGGTTATATGATCACATCTTACTTGTTGATATTGGGCACTCACACAGCTAATTAAAATTGTACGAAAAAAATGATTTAAATTTTGCCAGCGCCTACATCGATATAATTTAATTAGGTAATGAACATAAATGAAAAGCGAATGCCGTTTAATTACTTTTACAAATATGAATATATGGGTTATAAGTAGGCGTGAAATCATATCGTTCGAAAATATGACGTAATCTGACAAGTGACGTAAGCAGACTCATGACGTAATCAGTTAGGATCTTACGTTTACAGAAAGGCAATTTGCTGGACCATGTTCCATCTACACGACAAGACACTGTCTTCTTTCCCGAGACGACTCGTCCGTAGTCGCAATCTGCAGTGCATTTGGATCCTGCGTAGAAATCTTCTGTGCATCCCACTGTTCCGAATTTGAGTTCTGGCAATATCTCACATGTTACACCTGTGAAAGAATAGTTTTTTTAGTTGCAAAAGTGAGGATGGTTGAATAGCCAAGAACACTGCGCATAAATAGGGACAATAGTCGTTAAATGAGCACTTCGCAGTCAAAATAGGTCGATAAAACCCTTTCAGCGCAGGTTTATAAACCTGACAAAATTTGGGGCTTGGGGCTCAAAATTGACAAAATAAACGTATATAAATGTAAAAGTTAGGAACGGTTACTCTTATTAAAACGATTCTTTGCTTTACATCACGCTCGAAACGAAAAAAACAAAAGTGAGAACTTGAAATCATAAAACATTAAGTAGAATAGCATAGCAGTAGAAAAACTTTCGTTATGTTAGTCTTACGAATCATCCAATCTAACTCTTACAATAGCACAAGTATAATTGTATGCACACAAGTATATATATATTATTGAATATTTAGATTTAAATATTTGGGTGTTATCCCCTTGTGAATGAGATTGCCGATTTTGTTATATACTGAGTGAGTTGTGGGAAGAGGGATTGAACTTTATATCCAGGAATGGGATTCAAAATTTTAAGAACTGGATCTGTTTTGTATCAAGCTCACTAACAACAGGTTCTCTCATTTTAGAAAACCATGCCAAACTTATAGCTCTAAAGACAAGATCAAATTCTTTGATTATCACAAACCACCATTGCCCTTCAGGTCAGCCATTCATTCAAACTACTTACGTTGACAAAAAGGGGGAGGCGAACTCCAATCACCCAACGAAGTTCCGTCTGATCTTCCAACACAGGTTGTTCGAGCCGAACCCACAATGTTGTACCCAGCTTTGCATCTGTAGGTACAACTCGTTCCAACTGCTCTGTAAGGTGGTTTCCCAAGACATTGCACAGATGAGAATTCCGGTGCTGTGCCCAGTGGTAGGCATTTGATAGCTATAATACATAAGGAATTGATATTAAACAAGAAAGGTAAGTTTAAATATATTGGCCCAAACGTTGAATGACAGATATGGTCTTCGAAAGGCAACAGAATTTCAGCATTGCATCGAATTCCACATAAACATGTGTCCACGCATTACAATGACTAGTAGTAAAATCGGGACCTATTGGACATAGAATAATAAAAAATAAATTATATCGATTTCTCAAATTTATACCCTTTTTCTTGGTTTGTCTTTCCCTGTCATGATGAGAACAAGCAATCAGAAATTGATAAGGATTTGATAGTTTGTTTGAGTCTATGAAATACCGAGCCCAGTTTTGCGCGTAACAACTGGACTTTGGTCGCAATGATTAATGTTTAGGTAATTTATAACTTTTCGATCGTGCCCTTCAACAAAAGTCAAACAAAACCGCTGAACGACCAATTAATAAATATCAGATTGTTGAGGATTGCCAGTTACAGACTTGTACTAATCCATTCGCCTGCAGCGTAGGTTGGATGAGTCATTGTGGTCGGAATTGAACGTCATCTCACACGCCTAAAATCCGTTTTAAATGCCTTTTGCCATTGAATGTAAATATAAATAGCAACAGATTTTTCTTGTTAGCAAATACGGAGCCAACGTAATTGTACCACCGGTAATATTAAGAAAGTTCTAAATATAGCTCCAATATAAGCCGTAAGCAATAAATTCTGAATAATGTTACTCGAAGTTGAGTTATTTTGTGGATTGCCTAATTTCCAAATGTGCGCCTTAAGCGATTTTAATTCTCAAGTTTTTCTTAGTTTCAATTGAAAATTATGCTCTTATATTTAAAAATCTGAAATAACGTTCGACTACCAATTGCGACGAATGATGGCACTCACGTAATGAAATGATGTCATTTCATGATGTAATTAAAAAAAGGTTCCAGATTTATCTCAAAACTAAGTCGTAAACACTTGATTGTAATGTTACTTAAAATCAAATCAAAGTTGTGAATCATATAACATGGCGTCATGCGCCATGCTCTGACAATTTTGATGAAAATATTAGACCTTATTTCCAAATTTTAAAAATCTGAATGAACACTTTGAGGAATTGAAAAGGTGGTTCTCACGAATTCTAATCACAAAATCATTAACCATAGAAAAGGTCTCTAATTTAGCATTGAACTTTTATTACTTTTACGATTATTTTAATACTGGATAAATAAAAAAAATGTTTCTAAACCCTATTATTGTGAAGTTAAACCACGTTCATGATACTAAATAACACAGAAGCTATTTATGCGAATGACTCATGGTGCATAATACAACGAATACTCTGGCTTCGTGGGAATGAAGTATTGTTCAAAGAGCGTTTTACTTCCTAACGATGTTTCGTTTAGTTTCACTTTCATTTGCATGCATAAAATAAAATTTAAAGTAGGATTGTAAACGTTGTCTTTGATGCAAAGTTTTGCAAAGGAATAGCTTGCCGGTATCTTACGTCATTTTGAGAAAACATAAGCATATATTCAGAAGTTAAAGACATGTTTATGTTCTTTAAACTACCTCAACACTCAAAGCAGCTGCGTTGTGAGGAATGGAAAAAGATTTTCTAACAATTTGAAATGTGTGGATTTCGCCACCCCATATTATTTCCTGATTGTGTCGACGTTAACTAGCGTCAATCTGTATTATTTAACGCGCAATTCCACTCTATCATTTATCTTTTATCTATCACGCTATCTTTATAGTGTCAGTTGCTCTCGACATTTAGGTGGTCGCCTGTAAAATCACTCCCTTAACTTCTGAGTGAGTGCACGAGACTTCGCTTTGTACAAATTTCTTTAAGAAAACATGAAGACAGGATTGATAAATCATTTCACAATATATAAATATATTTGCAGAAGACACTCACCAAAGCACTCGGGTATCGGCGCATCCCATTTGCCCGTGTAATCAGATTTCGATGTCTCAATTTCTTCCAAATTTTTCGAGACACATTTCAATTTTGTCACCGTTTCTTGCCTGAAGCCGAACCCTCTCTTGCACGAAAACCTGCAAACGCTACCGAGGTTCTGGCCGTTGTTGCAGGAGTAGAGCCCGTTGAAACGTTGGATCTTTGGACACTGGATTTCTAAAAATGAGAAGGATTTTTATGCGAGTCTTTCCACGCATTTCATTTGAAGAATGGGCTTGTGGAAGCGGCCACAGATATGTGATAAGCGACTATTTGTTGGAAAATGAAATCCAATTTTATTGCTTACAAGCATATTGATGGTGTTAATAGCTTATTCCCGTGTGGGTATTTATCAATGTTGTTGCGCATTTAGTCAATTGAGCTGGAACACACTTGTCTACTACTTTGCGAAAAGTATAATAATTCAACTGGGAAGTTTTCTGTCTTCTTGAGGTACCCCACCCTCCTGCATACGAAAAAATTGATTGCATTCTACGACCAAGCATATGAATTCACATATGACGGGCCACCACCCGGCGCTATCGACAGTGGGACATATGAGGAAACTAGAGATTCATAGAGCACCATCCTATTATTTCGGTTAAAATGGCGTGTATGGCTTAATCGAGCCTATTTCTTTATCTACGTCTAGGAAACACATAGCCAGCACACGATTTTATTAGTCTAAAGCAGTCTTTCACATAGTGGAGCTTAGACTGTCCATAGCCAATAAACTAAATGAATATAGTACCACCATCTTTATCCACACTCAGGATAGATTAGGTGGGAACCCTATCTGATATTTTGTCCACAAATTTCTGGATGTTAGTCTAGCTAGAGCCCTATTCAGAACGAAGTTGTGCCACTTTCTTTGAATAACTAATAAATTAAATATTTAAACTTACTTTTGCACACTGGAAGGTCCATGCTTGACCATTTCCCTCTATTTCCGCAGACGACAGATTCCCTGCCATGTCGCATATACCCATCAGCGCAGGAGAACACACATTCTGAACCGTAGAAACTACGATCACTGCATCGCACGAATCCATTCGGGGGAGCGTACATAGTGGGTCGACATGTGATTCCTGAAATTGTTTAATGACTATTTGTTTGATATGATGTTTTCACGTATTTTTCTGCTCCGTACAAGCAGCCAATGATACTTAAAAAACTACCATTTTCAAGAAAAAAATAATTTTTTTCGCGTTTGGCATTTCCAACCTAAATTTGCGCCAACTAATATAAAACAAAACCTCGGCCACTGGCGCATTATACGGGGCTGTTGGGCGCATCTGTTTTGGCACAGCCTTTTCCTACACGACTGTTCGTGTTTTTACTTCCTTCATTACTAGTTAAAGACTTTTTAAAGGCTTTTTTGCGCAAATTAGAGATGTACCGATTTATTGGTATCGGCAATATAGGCCAATTTTTGGTATCGAAGTTTGTACTGGTATAGGCCCAAATTGTAATGATATTTTTGATATGTTCAGCTCTTTAAACGGATCTGATCGGTATCTGTGAATAGAGTTATATCGGTACATCTCTAGGGCAAAAGTGTGATTGCCCTAAAACCCTATGTAAGAAACCCGTGTCATTTGACTTACTTTTACAAGTCGGCGAGTTGTTTGTCCAACTATTGCCGGAGTAGCAGTAACTGTTCTGTGCGCCACTTCTTGTGTATCCTTCCTCGCATGAAAATTGACAAACCTTCCCTTTTTTCTGCGAAGGTATTGGCCCGCATTCCATCAGGACATTTGGGAAAGGTTTTGGCTCAACGGAGCAGTCGGGAGCTGTAATATAAATTCAAATATTGTTTTGAGAGTTGTTGAGAAAATCACATCTGGGAATAAGTATCTTGAGCTCTATGCCTATCACCTCAAATAGGGGGAAATAGATTGAGTTGGCAATGCTGAATCAAAAAGCTTTATTTAGTGCCAGGGGATAAATGCCTGATAAAAATTATGAGTTTACTAATTAACGAATCCGTTTGGGCCCAATGGCCCGGTAGTTAAATATTTTGTGTTAACCATGTTGGTAGCCATTAAAGATCTAAAATCTTCTATTCACCAAGCATTAGCCGTGACGTAATAAATTTGACAGACAATGTTGGATCGGGAAGCTATAGGATAAGACATCAACCTACCTGTACATCTCAGAATAGCAGCCTCGTGGCATGCTGGTTGAAGCGTTAGTACAACACAGCTGGTGTAGTGTCGCAGATTAAGGATTTCAAATACCCTACCCAACGACCTCATTTACCCCACATCAGGGTGTAATAAATTCTGTAGGCAATGCCCATGTTAACCCTAATACACCAACAAGACTCACTTGTACATCGTGGAATAGCAGCCGACCATCTCCCCCCAGACAGGCAGGTGAGACGACTCTTCCCAACAAACTTTCTTCCTATTGGACAGGATAAATCACAGATGGAACCAATCGTCTCATTGGCTGTGCATTCCTTCATCAGTCCACCCGTATCCGGTATCTTTGCGCAACGAATCTCTGAGAATAGAAATAAGGTCAGATTGGAACATGGGCGAACAGTATTTTCATATTTTCTTGACTCGGGGAAAATAGTTTTTCCAAATCCCCAAATTACTTTAGAAAATCTTGACAAAAACGACTTTTTTTTAGAAACAATTTCCACTTCTGGGATTTCGAAAACGATTAGTTTTTCGAGCGTAACTATATTTTAGTAAAAAAAGATTCCGCATACCCGAGAATCGAAACAGAATGGGGTTGTCGCACGGTGGCGCGGTTTGCAAAATTTGAATCTTTTCGAGAGGAGTTGAAAAGGAAATTGAAAAAAAGTTTTTTAAAAACGCCTTCAAATTTAATTTCTGAATATTTGAAAAAGATTAGCGTAGTAGTGGAAAAAAGGGCAATCCAATATTACAATAATTACTACTAACATTTAGCAAAACAAGCGACAAAATCACTCAGTGCCCAATATGAATCTCAAGGAAATAAAAACTTCTAGAGCAGCGGATTTTTTCGGGGGATTTCATGAGCAGTCGTAAAAAGGGTCCATTTCACTGGAAGAGTTAGAAACCACAGATTTAGAGAGAGGAAAAGGAATAAAAGCAGGAAACTAACCCTCGCACATCGGCTTCTCTCCTGTCCATTTGCTGGTTGCTCCGTCGCAAGTCCTGGTGACGCTGCCTTGCACAAAGTAATTTCTGAACGAAAAGGTATAAGGATGAGTGCTTAGTTGCAGTTCACGTCAAATTATGCACAAGAGTCTACTGAGTCGCGTTCACATGGCCTCAATGAGAGGGAAATGAAATGTACAAGAGACGTTATGTGATGTGGTTATCACTGCACGTTTTGTTAAACGCCCTAAGAAATAAAACCTGATGTCTAGACCGCGACCAACGCAACCTCTACAGAAGATAAGAAAATAATTTAATAAATTATTATACACATCACTAATTCAAACTGTTATGTGCAGGGAAAAAAAGAAAAAAAATATTATACTAATACTGGAATTAAACTTCATTATACTTTTGGGAATTGTGGAAGAAAAATTGAAGCGCTATTTTAGGGAATCGTGCACGACCACCTTTTTTATGATTTTATTATTTGTAAATTGACCCACTAATGTTAAGCAAGGGATGTGCACGGGGCTACTGTCCCCGTGGAAGCTCAATATTTCTATTGGGAGCATATAGCCATCTCTATTCCCAATAAGTGTTGCAAGTTTTACAACGTCTTATTTTAGGCAACATCGCGGAACCTTTAACTTTGCAATGTCTGGCAAGAGATGTTTGCTATCTCAAATTTGCATGAGCATATAGTAAGGGCGACAGAGAGCGAGATCACTAAAGCCTGAAATATAGCAACGATAAATCACAATTGCGTCACAGTGGCGCGCAAACAAAACCTTGACATTTTACTTTAGCGACAAAATTTGTTCTGCAACCGCAACATGGCGTGCGTTCCACGATAATTAAGCGTTACTCACGGACTCGAAACTTATTAATGCGATGACTTTGCTGATCTCACATCTGATAAGCGAAATTGGAAGACAAAAGCGTGAAGTTGACACTAAACATCGAATGTCGTTCGGACGAAAATAACCTATGAAAAACTTACGATATTTCGGATCGATTTGGAACGGTTAATTGACAGAAATGCGTAATGTTTGCTCGGGATTAACGAGATTTTGCGTAAATGAGAATTATTTTTGAATTATCATTATATTTGAGCGAATATATTATAATTTATCTATATGAAAGCATAACAAGTGGTTGAAAGTATCGATCAAAAATACGAAAAGTAGAAAAATTATATTTATTCGAGTCGCTATCCGGATGCATTTTTAGGGCACGTAGTAGAAAACTATACATTCATACTACGTAGAAGTTCCTCAACCCGAATTCACTAGTCCAGTGATTTTCAACCTTTTTTGTACCGCGGAACACTTTTTTTAATCTAAAATTGTGGCGGAACACCAAACAAGATTTTTGGAAATAAACTACATTATACAATTAACTGACATCGATCATTCCGGCATGAAAATAAACTAACGAAATTAATAATATAGCTCATCAACTTTAGCTGGAAAAGACGTGACACATTCCGATTTAGAGCTACAAGAGCTAAAGTACGGTACAAATAAAAGTTTTTTGCGAGTTTGCTTATGAATACTATGATTAGTTAGAAACAGAAATGGTATTTTAATGTGATATTTCTCAACGGCTATCAGTTTCTCGCGTTTTTTTTTATATACGCAACAGGAGTCCAAAAGGTAGGAGGTCGATTTGGAAATTAATGGAAACATTGAAAATTGGCAGCAAAGCGATTTTTACTGTTTAATTTTGTCATAATCGCTAGTTTTTGCCCCTCGAACGTTTTCCTATTACCGCCTTTGTTTTTGTGCGCAAGTATTAATTCCTGCCGATCGGCGAGATCGAAGTTTCATATTTAGGTAAAACTATATGCGTTCACATCGTCAACAGATGTTAATGACATGAGGGAGCGATTTTAAATCCCAACTTAACTTTATTCTGATATTTATCTTTTACGCCGGCTTTGAGCTAACTTATCGCCGTTTGCAAATTAAACGTCCCAGTATTAAGCGAATAATATTATCATTATCGACAACGGGATGCACACATTTATTAGGACGATAATTGAGTTTCTTATGCTCCACTCCGGAGTCAGTGTTATTTCCGAAATAAATCAATTAGATACTGTGATTAGATAAATCTGTAATTGCGTGAATCCTGAATGTTGATTTAAAAGCTGAAAGAAAAGCATTTCTACGTGGTCATTAGGCGAGATGAAGAGCACTTCTTTAACGAAATCTTACATGCGCGACCTGATGCCATAAAAATTGTAAACAATTTTGTGCCAAATTGCTTTTGTGCTGATTAGACGCTGATTAGAATTAATCACGTCAAGTTTAAACGATTTATTTTCCAACAAAACAATACCGCGACCATTATCATAGCTAAAATCGTTACCTACAAATTCACAATTTTATTTACGGAATTTGCAGTTCAACACTTCACATGACGATTTTAGGATGATGCCACGCCCTAATTAATACTACAAGAAAAGCTTCAAAATGCAACGAATGTAATCAAATCCGATGATGATATTTTTAAAACATTATTTGGTCAAGAGTGGAATTGATCACTAAAAATACACGCCGAGATATTGGAAAGTCCATTGAAAGGGAATATGGCCTGTCATTTCTTCTCTGGTTACAAGTTTTTTATACCGACTTTCCAAAACTCTGACTCGCCATTTTAAAATCGAGGCTATTTATATTACTCGAAAGACGTCATAATACTTCAAAAAAGCAATTTTTCGCGGAACACCTGGAGGTTTCTCGCGGAACACCAGTGTTCCGCGGAACACCGGTTGAAAATTACTGCACTATTCATAAGCCATCCGAGTCTCAAGTAGAGTGAGAGTACGAAGCCGAATCAATTACTGACTTATGTCTCACTACTGGTACTATTTCGTGTTATTTTATTTAGATCAGTGGCTTTTAACCGCGGGTACGCGTCACCCTTTCTAGTGGTCTGCCGAATATATTCCAATATTATGTCTCAAATGCAGACACTTCGAGTTTTTGATGAATGTTGACTTGATTCTAGCACGAGTTAATGAAATGAGCCGCCCTCTCCTCAACGCCGGTAAAACTATATATATGATTGCGGTAGCGCAAATTACTTTCCTACGCCGTTGTTTAGTTGATCGCCACTTAATTAAGTGTCAGATAATCTTCCATATTTGACTGAATGTAGCCGTAATTGCCCGGACAACACAAATATTTCTGAGTCATCAAATCACTGCTTTGTTGCTTTAATTGTCAGTTTCCAAAATAATAAAGCGAAACCCACAAATTACTATGATGAGAGCAACGGTTGCCAAAACAAATGATTGCGGGGGGAATTGGGCGCAAAATTAAGTTACAATTAACTAAAAATGGCAAAACATATTTTCAAAACATTACTTTGTTTCTGATTTTTAATAGACGCTTAAAAATTGTTTGGCAAAGTTTGCTTATAAGTAAAGAGCTCTATTTTTCAAGCGCTCGAATGTGATTGGTATTGCGAACCCGATCTATCACACACTAGGTTCAGACCACCTAGTAACGATGCCGACAGGGTTAAAGGTCAATGCTGTAAGTCACTGGGCCATCGCGAACAAATTCGAACACAGTTGATCAGTCTAACACAGACACCTGCTATGGTAGAAAGTAATATTCGCTCCATCATGCGCTATCATTAGGACCTTCTTGCATCTTTTACCTAAAAATTCAATTTTCCACAAAATCGAAATCGCTGTTTCTGTCTAGTGTTCTTGTTTTAGGGAAATTTGCTTGCAGTGGATCAAGCGCAATGTGGAAAGCTTCTGAAACTATACAAAATCATGATTATGCAATACGCAAACTTACTCAAGAGTACAGCATAAAAAAATTCATTTCTGGGCAATGTTACGAGCGAGCAAGTGTCGTGAACAAGTCCCGTTACAATTTTATTATAATATGAAGTCAGTTCTAAATATATTTAACCAGGTTTGTTTTATTCCAACCAGTGGTTGTTTAAGTTGTTTACTTTTATTTAATACGCCTGCAGAGGCCACCTATATAGAGTTTCGATAATAATTCCCTTCGCAATTTAAAAAAGACTTTATTGACACCCTGTATTACGAATAATTCTTAACAAAATTTCTGAACAAAATTAATTCATATAGTGTTTATAAATATTCCATCAAAGTCTTTTATAACTTCAACCACAAAACCATTTTTGACATGAATGACAAATCAATTGCGCATTAGGCTGCGGTGATGGTATGTTTACAATAACACAAGGAAATTATAAATTCCAGGGAAACTTAATTGATAGTTCAACAAATTTTAGCGAGAATCGAAAAACACTTAGATCTGCGAAACCTGTGTTTTATTGAAAAGATAAAGATCCGCTGATATTCATGATTCAGTAACCACAACATAATTGAAACAATAGATTGAAAATATCATTTTAATTTTTCGCGAGTCATCGTCTCTTAATCATACTTTATGAAGTTTCTGTTTGTGGTGAACTATTGCACAAGTTTACAAATGCAAGGCAGATGTTTCACAAAAAGTTCAATTATTTTTAAACGTGGAATGAGCGCGACCCCGATAGTAGCTCCTATCGGCGCAAAGCCTTGTTCGGAGCAAAGGACAAATAAGTCATAAAAATATGTTGCACGCCAGATTTATAAAGCGGACATTTTCCTTCCAAACTTCAGCCAGCAAAATACAAATTTCAAACGTCAGTTGTCGCATACAGAAGTTGCAGCAACTTGCTTGATTGACAGGTGAAAACCACAAGTTAAAATAATAAACTATAAAATTATGTAAAAAACCATTTTTAATAAAGTTAATAACAAAAAAAAAACAGTAAATAAATAATAAAACTTTTTGGTGCGTCATAAATACCGCAACCTTTTATGAAATCAGAAACGTCAGCTTTTATAAATGTTATTTTTATTCGTCATTCAGTTGTTGCGACATTTAATAAGAAATAATTCACTGTGATGAAATAATGTCTGAAATTGTGGGGAAAACCTAAGAAAGTTAAATATTTTCAGATTCATGAGTTGCTAGTTCGCAAACGATTCCCGTACATTTTATTACGGAATTTGCAGTTCAACACTTCACATGACGATTTTAGGA